CTCGAAAACTGTTGTAGTTTGTACATGTTATGCCTATAATGGCTAAGATTTTAGTCGCATTCAACGAAAATTTGGCAACAAAAGAGAAGTGTTAAAAATAACACAGTAGAGGTTGTTTGTAGCCCCTAGTAATTTCTTCCTCCATCGAATTTTTAAGAGTTATTTTTTAATGTTCTAATTTTTAACTGCTTGAAATACAGAGTAAATACGAACAATAATTTTTCGCTCTGGAATTTCGTGTCGAACCTTACAAATTTTTTTTGGCAGCTGCTTGCAGAATTTCGTCAAAGCTTTTGAACGTTTACGGCCACGCGTGTTGCAAACTGGGTGCCTCAGGCGTGCGCCGCTTCAGTGACAAATGTTCCTATTTTTATTTGCAAAAAATGCTCGCTTGCGATATTGCGTACTTCTAAGAAATACTGAAATTTTCAGCTGGTGCATCTGGAGAAATTTTACAGTAAAATTGCATGTCGTTGTTTGGGTTTGCTATTTATTCACAAAATTCTTGCTCCGCTCCTTTATTCTTTGTACTTGAGATGGTAGTAAGAATTCATTTAATGTAATTTTTGGCTGACAATAGTTTACGCTGCAAGTATCTCATCCAAATTTGAACAATAACTTCATCAATAATAATAAATATTGCCTAATTAAACTAACGATCGACGATGACTGCTGATTTAAAGGCTATGTTATAATATTTTATTTCTCGGTATCGCATAGAATTAAGCACGGTCACTAACAGGTATGATGGGGCTCGCGAAATATTACGACCTTAGAACCCATTCTATTTTTTCCATCTTCGAAGTTAGTGAAACAAACAATGCCAAATGAAATTTTCTAACATTTTATGTAGATTATTTCTACATCTAAATGCAACAACGATAATCATAAATATCGCGTGCGTATATATAGTTGGGAAGTCCTCAGCATTTTTTTACACATATTGAGGATTATTAACTTATAAATTTGGGGCAACATTGGAATAACTTTTGTTTTACTGCCCGTTTCTAAACGCACGTTTGCCGTTTACAGACCTGATTAATGACCTGCAAAGAAATTCCTTATGCTGGGAAGATCCCTAACAATTGATTGAATTGAGAGTTCATCATTCTGAAAAGTTTTATAGTCTACTCATTTAATATTTCAAACAAGTGAGTGTTCAATTCGCACGTGATTTAATATTTTCAGTTCATTCCATTTTTTCTCTTCTTATGCCCTATCCTTTCTTACCTTTTTAGCCATATAATATCATATGTTATGTAAATTCTTTAAAGCATTAGTGATCTCGTAACTCCTGTCTCAACACTTTTACTGCCCAATCTCTCTCCAGCCTTTGCAATTTTCACTTACGCCCGATTCTCAAGGTCCGCAGAAATGCACGCAATGCCGAATGCAATTGCCCCGATCTGCTATGTTCGCCACGAAAAATTCCCTCGCATAAATAATGCAAATAGAATCTGCGGGAAATTATCGAAGTTCCCTGCCGGAAACCTCGCACATAAATTATTGGCGGTTTCTGGTTAGCGTTGGAGCTTGAACGATATTGGTTGCACTGATGGAATTTCGATTATCCTTTAGAAGAACTCCCTTTCCTGGTCTCGCTTTGAACACGAGATGTTTGAGTGGTACAAGCGAGGTACATTGTAAAGGTAACTGTGCTCACGATCATTGATCACTGCAGAAATAAACTAAGAGATGAAAGTGATGCCAGAAAACGTTGGATATAGCTAATCAGTGCCGATAGAGAAACTTCAGTTTGTAAGTAACTGTTAGAACTGTTGTATATAAAAGAAAGATACGCAGGCAGAGTGAATAAAAATGTTCATGAAATATTAAAACTTCCAGTTCAAAGTGAAACAAATCATACGTTTGCTATATCGCAAAAACAAGGACAAACAGGAAGAAAAAGTATGTTCACTCGATTAACCATTAAGCGATTGTTAATTATTGACTAGAGTCAAATAGTGATTGTTTAATTAAGCCCTATTTATTATCGGGTTTAATACGCCGGTCTTTGATCGGTCGTCGGTGGTCTGGTGAAAATTCAAGGAAAATCGTAGTTAGTCTTTTGAAGCGAGGTTTAATCACTCGAGCGGGGGTTAAAACTGGGTTTAAGTCTTTTGAAGCGGTGGTTTATTATGTCTTTTGAAGCGGGCGTTAAAGTCTTTTAAAGCGGGGGATTAATCTTTTGAAGCGGGGGTTTTAATCTTTTGAAGCGGGGGTTTTAATCTTTTGAAGCGGGCGTTTTAATCTTTTGAAGCTGGTATTAAAGTCTTTTGAAGCGGGGGTTTAAGCCCTTTAAAGCGGGGGTTTAAGTCTTTTGAAGCGAGGGTGTAAGTCTTTTAAAGCAGAGGTTTAATTATTTTAAAGCGGGGGTTTAAGTCTTTTCAAGAGGGGTTTTAAGTCTTTTAAAGCGCGCTTTAAGTCTTTTAAAGCAGAGGTTTAATTTTTTCAAGCGGGGGTTAATTCTTTCAAAGCGGGGGTTTAATTCTTTTAAAGCGGGGGTTTAATCACGTGAATTGACCCCACGTCGTCCTTGAGGATTTGTTTGATCTCCCCAACTCTCCTCTCGTTCCTCGCGCGTTCCTCTTAATCTTCCTAATGAACCTGCTTGAAGCTGACGTAAATATTTAAGACGTAAATAATTTTACGTCCTAAATTATTTTTCTTTTTCTTTAATATCGTTAATATTTTAACAAATTTTAGTATCGGATTTTGTTTATTATCATTATTGAAACGTAAATAATACTTTACTCTGTTTGTTTGGGGTTCTTGGTTTGCGACAATTTCAGAATTGTTTGAGGGATTTTCTTGGTTGGCCAAGAAAAAAAAAAACATTACCATCAATCACATCGTACCTGCATCGATAACAAATAATTTAAAATTTCCGTTTTATTTTTGATTCCAACACATTTAAAAGTCATTAATTACTAAGGGATTCTTAAATGTAAAAATTCTCTGCCATTAAGGCCCAAATACCGTCTCATTCCTCCCTCTTCACAGACAACTCAGCCCGAATTTTCTCATGTTCTACATATATTATTGTATGTAAAAATTTGTATTTTTAAAATTGAAATAAAAAAATAAAATTCTATTGCTAAAACTTGTGCCGAGTCTGGAACAACGCCACGTATCTGCCGAGAAACGTGTCGTCCCACTCGAGTTTATCATTTTAAAACTCGCGAGATTTTCGTCAAGGATCGTGACCTGCCTTTCGAACTGACATCGAACTTGGTTTTTTTGCGCTTCAACTGTCGTGCTGTCAGCTAACGTGCGAAGAGAATACCGATACTTTATCCTAAAGTAATTGAAGCGACAAACGGTGAATTGTCACTTAATTTAAATTTGCAAATGCATGTATTATTTCCATTGCCTATATTTATTAAGGGCTGCTGGATTATCGTTTAAAGGCTTATGTCGTGCTCTACATTTAACTTGCCTCGAACGATCATTGTTTTATTTTAATAGTAGTTACTTTTTCCATCAAATCTGTGTATAGTATCTGACGCTACACCTTAGAATATTGTAGGAAAATTATGCCTACTGATTTTTTATGCGGGTCATTTTTTGTTTGTTTCATCACGATGCAATGAATTCAATTTAGAACTTTCGACTAATATTGTATATGACAAAATATTTTAAATGAAAACTAAATTACTCTGTGTAATCTTCTACGCTAAATTAATTCATCACCTTTAATCCGTGTATTTGTAAATGACAAATTCACTTCACTGATCTCTATTGTCTAACCCTAGCTGAGTGAGTGCTGTGTTCACCAGACTCAATGTGCCATTAATGTACGATTCATCTCGACTCACTTTACATTTAATGCCACATTTAGCGGGACAGATGCCCGCCGCCATTCCTATTTAAACGCACCGTCGTGAATATTTTACCAGAGGATAACACTTATGCACAGGCGTTGCTGCGTAGGGGGTAACGTTCCCTGCAATTGAACACATAAATTTTCTAATGAATCACCTGCTGAGAACTCATTCAGGACCCAAAGAACAAATGTCTGCGCTTAGAGGATCATTCATTGATGTAATGAACTTTGAAAAACTTAACTTTTTTCTTTTTATTCGCAGTTTTAACTTCCATTATAGGCTCTTTGCACCACTTTTGCTAAGCCGTGCTCTGCGTCATCTTTGCCCTAATTTTTGTACAAACTTACGTGACTTTATTTTGTTCTCTTCCGGTAATTATTACAACATATTATGGTTTTGAAAATATATCATAATGATAATAAGCAATTTCATCACACTAGCCCATTAATTGGCGAGATCACATTTTAATTAGTGGTATAGTTCCTAACTAATAACCAATTTCAAAATTTGGTAAAAAACGCGTTAAAACAATTACATTTCCACTGCATATTGAAGACTCGATTATTATGCCGGGTGAACTCATAATTTGACAAATCACAAAAAAAAAATGTTTAAGCTTAACGTAGTATTGACTTGATTTTCTCCAATAAATTTATTACAATACGTACCTTATAATTACCGGAAATTTGATCACTCAGTTTGGAAAACATGTCCCTCAAAAAATTTTGCTAGATAGGCAATAGAATCTTAATCATTCACTCCTAATTGATCGTTTTCATATCACTATTCCTTATTAATTGAGCGGTACGAAACTTTTATGTTTAACATAGTTTCTGTTCAAAATAATTTAGCACCTCAGGCAGAATAGTGTTACCTACGCCCTTAAATAAATAGATTCAGTGAATTGTTGTAATAATTGCAATTCCAATTCGCGCGCAATTTCTATGCCAAATTTCACGCAAGAAATGTTCATAATGCCCATTTAAACACACCCTCTTTTTCAACACGCCCTCCTTTTCAACACACCCTCCTTTTCAACACAACTCCCTTTTCAACACGCCCTCCTTTTCAACACACCCTCCTTTTCAACACATCCTCCTTAACAACACACCCTCCTTTTCAACAATCCCCCTCCTTTTCAACACACACTTCTTTTCAACACACCCTCCTTTTCAACAAACCCTCATTTTCAACACACCCTTTCAACAAACCCTCTTTTTCAACACACCCTTTTAACAGACCCTCCTTTTCAACATACCCTTTCAACAGACCCTCCTTTTCAACACACCCTCCCTTTCAACACACCCTTTTAGCAGACCCTCCTTTTCAACACACCCTCCATTTCAACTCACCCTCCTTTTCAACAGACCCTCCTTTTCAACAGACCCTCCTTTTCAGCACACCCTTTCAACACACCCTCCTTTTCAACACACCCTTCTTAACAACACACCCTTTCAACTCACCTTTTCAACACACCCTTTCAACACACCCTTTTAACACACCCTCCTTTTCAACACACCCTTTTAACACACCCTCCTTTTCAACACACCCTTTCAACACACTCTCCTTTTCAACACTTCCCCTCTTCAACAGACCCCCAACACACCCTTTAAACAGACCTTCCTTTTAAACACTTCCCCTCTTCAACAAACCCTTCTTTTCAACACACCCTTTCAACAGACCCTCCTTTTCAACACACCCTTTCAACAGACCCTCCTTTTCAACACACCCTCTCAACAGACCCTCCTTTTCAACACTTCCCCTCCTCAACAGACCTCAACACACCTCATGTTTATGCACGAGCGCTGAGGACAGTTTGGACGGACACGCGTGCGTTTCAATGCTCGCTACGCGGGAAACTAATTTCACGTCCGTCAATTCACTTCAAACGAATTGGGAATAGCGAGTTCAACTTTGACTGGACCGCTCCCGACCACTGTTCAAAATTTTGCGTTTTGCTATTCGACATCAATTGGACACGCATGCAAATGAGCTCCATAAATTCCTTCTGAAGACTGATAGTATCTAGTTGACAAATGCTAAAGGCTGTCACCGCTTCATCCAGCCACTTGATTTCACGAGTTTTTGCTTGTACAAATTATTACATGTCATACTCATCGATTTTCTGCCTGATAATCTATACGATTACGGTCGATAACTTAAGTACGGTCAAGGGTAAAAGCTACTAGTATACTGAGAAAATTAAGTTCAAAAACTAATTCTGCTGACTGTATTTAATCGGTTCATTAATTTGAATAGCTTCATCATGAGTTTTATCAGGATATCGTTGATTTCTTTATGTCGCCTTTTCATTAGCTCACTTTTATTTTAGATTTATCCGACCTTTTTGATTACACTGTGGAGAATTCAGCTTCTAACACGCAAAACGACTAACATTTTCTTAAAGCATTTATATATTATAATATAATCTTTTAATAAAATTTTACCATCTAATTATCTGTTTTGAACGCCCATGTTTTTTTCATTTCTTGCAGGGATGGCGACAGGTCGTGGTATCGGTGAGTACAACGCAGTGTCATATTAACAGAGAGTTTTCTTGCATAATTTTATTTCATTACAAAGTTTATTTACAGCGATTTGTTACAGAAAATTGATTTATTTTGACGAGAGTTTGGTATGCTTATAACCATTTATATATATTCTGAAATGACGCGGACTCGACATTCTTGTAGAAGTTTCCATGTCTTATTCTGAAAATTCATTATAATTTTTATTTGATAGTTCAATTACTATGATTCATCTTAATTGTATTGTGAGTCGAGCAATTGGGTTAAAAAATCGGTGTTTTTTCCAAGCAAAATATTTTCTCCTAATTTTAACATTGCATTCCCTTTTCTGAGGTGTATATTACATATATATACCGTGTCCTTTTACACTGCAACGAACAATAAATTTCAAATCACCAAATATCAATCAAACAAGCAACCAACTTTGTTTGAGTAATAATAAACGAAATATGATCTTCTTTTTAGATTTCCAAAATTTTCTCGAACTTAGTTCTACAAATGGGAAAACAACGATTCAAGCCTGCATCAGTGAAATCGTTTAACTTTCTTTTGAAATGTGTGTGTAGAAAAATTTCTAATGGGTAACGCACCGAGGTAAGTGCCTGGTTATGCGTTATACGATCTTGACGTTCCACCTTTAATTAAACATATGGAAACGACATCGCCCCTCCGTTAAAAATACGAAAATACGAGGATGGCATCCATTCGAAAATGCAATATAGGTTTGTTCTAAATCGTTAAAGTGATCATCGCCGCCTTCATTATTTAAACATCATTTTTCAAATAAAATGAACGTTTCACCATTGCTGAGTAATGAAATTTCACTATTACTATGTAATGAAATTTTCATTATTACTTACTAAAAAATATTACGACCATGCATAATATTCAACCCGAAATTGAGTCTATTAATGTAGCAAAAGACAGTTGTCAAGATTATAAATGCGTTTAATCAAGTTAAGCAAAGCGCTTGCCTTTTTTTCGTGATTCTTATGCGAAAAAATCATAAGCCAATGGATGTGATCGCTCGTCGGAGTTACTATAACAATCAAATATTTTTTAGATCTTAAGTTTTGTTTTTATTTTTTAGAACGACAGATTTGAATCGTTTAATATTCCATCCATGGTGATATAACTATCTAAACATAATTCTTCAATCTTGAACAAACCTTACTAATGCACAATGATAAAATATTTTAGAATTAAGTTAGGGCGTTTATCTATGGTGGGTCCTAATTGACCGCTAATTTTAATAATTGAAACAAATAATGTGGTTTAATTTTAACATTATTTAATCTCAGTATGGATAATAAATAAATATTAATGCACTGAAATCCAACCTGTTTATTTTGCCAGCTCGACAATAAAGAACACAGATGGCTTAAAAAGTACCCAGAATCACAAAATAACATCAATATTCAATCCAAAGATCAACTTTGGTAACCCACAGCTATTATGCATAGAATACTTTGTGAAGCAACACTTCAATAAATTAGGCCAGATATATTGACATGAAACCAAAAAACTACACTGTATAAAATTAAGTCTTTTCAACAATTGTTGCGCGCTGTAAAAATTTAAAGTGTTGTACATCATTCTTGTATGTGTGATACAGAAAGGGGTGGTATAGAGTTGTTCACATGGTTTTGTGTTGACATATATTCGTTATGAACACAGTGTCTCTATCTAAATTTTCTCAAATAAAATTTCCCAGCTCCTGCCGAACTGATCTGAATTTATTTCCGATAAATGTAAGTTTTTATTGCTGCTCGTCCCACTCGGTAGCTTCAACACTTTTACATTAATTCAAAACATTAAAAAGTAAAGGATTAATTGAAAGTATCTAATTACGATATCTTGGCAATTTAATGCACAGTTGATTGTACTGTATCCATGACAGTAAATTGGCCTCATCGGACCTGTGATATTTATGCGGTAAATGATGCGAAGGCAATTCTGTTCCCAAGAACTTTAAAAAATATTGTTAACTCCGCGTTTCCTGGGATTCTATTATTTCAAAGTTTAAAGTTTCAAAAGTTTTTGACAAAATTTGTAATTTAAAACGTAAACCGTGAACAAGTATGAAAAAGTAACAAAATTCGTAACTTAGTTACTATTTATACTTGTTTACGGTTTACGCATTATTTTCAGCTATCTTAAAATGTAAAATTATTTAACAATTAGTAATGAGTTTGGAGGGTTAACATTTGCCCAACTTAATACTCAATGTGGCCGCTTCAATACTTCTGCTGGTGATGTTGAACAAGGTTCTTGCGTAGTCTGTAAAGTTATGGAACATACAGTATGTCAGATTGATAATAAATAAATATTTTATTTATTATCAATCAACAGGATTTATCGTTCATGCAAGAAATTTGGAACATACGTCCGATTGATCAACTGGATTTATCGTACATGGAACATATGGAACATATGTCTGATTTATCAACTGGATTTATCGTTCATGCAAGTAATATGGAACATATGTTTGATTGATCAACTGGATTTATTGTTCATGCAATCAATATGGAACATATGTCTGATTGATCAACTAGACTTATCGTTCATGCAAGCAATATGGAACATATGTCTGATTGATCAACTAGATTTATCGTTCATGCAAGAAATTTGGAACATATGTCCGATTGATCAACTGGATTTATCGTACATGGAACATATGGAACATATGTCTGATTTATCAACTGGATTTATCGTTCATGGAAGAAATATGGAACATAGGTATGTCTGATTGATCAACTGGATTTATCGTACATGGAACCTATGGAACATATGTCTGATTTATCAACTGGATTTATCGTTCATGCAATCAATATGGAACATATGTCTGATTGATGAACTAGATTTATCGTTCATGAAAGAAATATGCTCAGGATCTAACGTGTCGTCCAATGTCATGCGAGTGAATATCACTTACATAATAACTTATCATTCTCATGTACAAAATACCCATTGAATGTTTACCAACAAATAAATGTCACATTCTATGTATAAAATAAAGAAAATCATTAGTTTTTACACAAATATTTGATAATGAGTTGTCATTTTTATTGAATTGTATGTACATTTATTAAAAAACACTTTTTCTTTCGCCAAGTGCTTTTAAAATACTTAAGTTTCTAATTTATATATCTATACAGAAGATTTTAAAATCCGAAAATGCGAGAATTAACTTAAATTCGAAATTCATCATTCATTCGGAAGCATTTCATCTTAGCTAATATATGTGTTACATAAAATTCATTCATTTTGCAGTGTATTCATTTTTACCTTTATGCTTAACTAATTGTTCTTCAAGAATCCGCCCTACAAGTTATTACTTCAAATACTTGTATAATCGTATTTCTAGTTCTAAATTCCAGATCGACTTGTAAAATAATTTCTAGGGTTCTGCTTGCCAGTGGTGGAAGGTATTATGAACAATTTCTTTTAATGGCAAAATAGCTTCTTATCGGAAAGGAACACATGGTTTAATTATGGTTTATCGTAGCTCCCACAAAATTCAGTTGGTATGAAAACATTTAACCGTAATAATGGTAAATATTCCTGCTCTTACCTATGCAACAACGAGCAGTAACTTACTTCTTCGATTTTAGGAGTGGAGAATTTTGATTTTTAAAAAATTTCACTCGATTCCGTTCGAAAGAACGTGGATGAATTGCAATTTTGTTGACTACCCATGGAAACTACAACTTACAACAAAAAAATTACAAATTTCAAAACACTCATATTGAGATCCAAATCCAGATATATAACTAATTTTATGAATGTAATAGCCGCTTCTTGCTAGTTCAACAATACCAAACAACATCGTATAACTGTATCATTCGATTAAATTTGATCGATTCACGTCTTTTATATCATAATTTCAAAATATTTTCCTCTGTCTATGTAATAAAATAACAAGCCTACTTCATGGCACATAATTGTGCTATTTTCTCGAACCCAGATTGGTTCAATTGTGAATATGTTTTGTGCAATTATTAAATTTCCACACTGATGGTCCTCGAAAAATCCTCTCAACTGAAAGATGTTGGTTTGTAAGAAGTCTGCTTGCGTTGAACGTTGAACGGTCTGCTACTCTTTGGGATTGGGGTTGGCATGGAAGAAGTCCTACTCGTTCATGTTGATTTTGGGGAATTAGAAGCCCTCTGTGGTGTTGAAGCTATCACCAAGTTCCATTGTTAGTGGGGGCGGTTGGACAGAAATTTATTTGGGGGTGTTTGGCTGGCGATGGTTCAGCTTCCCAACTTGCTGAGGTCAATGAGGGTTAAGCTCAGTGTAATGTTGTGGTTTGCGAGGACCAAGGTGCAATAGGGAGTGGGTGTAGTGTTGGATTCGTCTTCCGTTAAGGAGGTGTTGCGAAAAGGCCATCAGTGTTGCGTTGGGTTGTGAGTACGATAAGGTCTGCTTACTGATGCCGGATCTTGTATATGGCGCTGCTGATGGTGATGTTGACATCGCTGATGATGTCAGCCGGGGGTTGGTGATGAAGTGTTGATGTCGGGTGATGTCGAGGTTGGTGTCGAAGTGTTGTTACTTGGTTGAGTTTTGGCTGCTGTAGGCAAACCGCTACTTGGTGATCCCAGCTAGGGCTTGTATAGAAATTCTATTGTGTTATACATGAGTTTGTGTAGAAATTTTGTTAAGTTATGTTGGAGCTGATGTAAAAATGCAACTATGACTTGTGTAGAAGTGCTACTCGGTGATGTCAGGGCTAGTGTAGAAGTGCAACTTTACCTTGGGGCTAGTGTAAAAATTCTACTCGGCCATGTGGGAAGTTTTGTGTAATAATACTACTATTTTATGTTGGGGCTAGTGTAAAAATGGTACTCTTTGATGCCATGGCTTGTGTAGAATTACTACTCGGTAATGTTGGGGCTAGTGTAGAGTTATTACTCGGTGATATTGGGGCTAGTGTAGAGTTACTCGGTGATATTGGGGCTAGTGTAGAGTTATTACTCGGTGATATTGGGGCTTGTGTAGAATTACTACTCGGTTATATCATGGCTTGTGTAGTTTTACTACTCGGTGATGTTGGGGTTGGTGTAGGAGAAATCCTTGAAGGGGGTTTGGTCCATGGAAGAAAGAATGCTGTCATCAATCGGCGTGAGCGCAGCGCTGCGCTTCGTGAAGAGCGGGTCGAAGAACTGAACGTCCAAGATGTGCCTCTGAAAAGGAAGTACCTTATTTAAATAAACTAATATTTACTCGCTCGTTACTTACTCATGTTTCTATTTCGTGTAAAATTGGATGAAATATGTGGTTATTTGCGATTGAGATGAAATTTTTTCAAATCTTATCGTTAATTTTGAGATTTTCAATTGAACTTGTGGTACTAATCGATTGATTAGTATAACAAGTTTGAGCAACTTTCTCATATTTTGTGCTATCTGCTTGAAATTTTTCTTCCTGGTTTGCTCTTACTCTGAAATTTGCTAAATAATTTTTTTGCGATATAAAATACCCATTTATTTTGTACTTATTTTATCGTGATAATTCGAGAAATAGTCATGAATCTGATATCCAGCAATGAGTAAATTCAATACTGTGCAGTCGCATAATTGCATAATTGACCTGTGTGAGGGCGAGTGTGCCAGAGCACAAACTTCTGTTTGTTCAGCCTTCTAATTAGTGGTGGCGAACGCACTCGACAACGAGCAAAGTTCTCTGAGAGAAATGCCGCAAAAACTCAACGTCTGCTAGTGCTGGAAAATTTAGAATTAGTGCTGGAAAATTTAGAATTTTCTACAAGGCAACATTAAGAAATGTAGAGCTGCAAATTTTGGTGCTCGTTTCATAATTTCTTGCAACATATTTCTGCTATTTCAACAGTTTTCGTTGGAATTTTTACGATCGATTTCAATTAGATTTATAATTGTCATTGTACTCATAAAAAATTGTTGAAACACTTTACACCGCCTCATCATATTGTATCGCATAAAAAGTTAAAAAGTAATACCAATCATATCCCATTGTAACAGTCTTCATAGCAAAAATTCAATTGTTTTTATTGCTCACAAATAGGCCATCTTCTTAATTAAATACAATACCCCTTTTAAATAGTTTGATCGAACGTTTTCGCCAATTTGTAACACTTTATCTCCCATTAAAACTAAATACGAAGGAAAATCTGCAACTGCATGTAATATTTTAGCACGGAATAGAAGCGTGATTATTTCCTCGAAGCGCGTCAGATGTATTGCCTTTGTGAAACTTCTTAACGAGCCTTGGGACTCTTAGTATTTACACAGGCACTTATCTCGCAATTTGTCTCCAGGCTGAGAAGTAATGCAAATTTCAGCCCTAATTGTCTCCATTGTAAAGATATTCAGAGCATAGCCGGCACTGCTCGTTTTATTTGCATAATCTCCGGGTAAGATTGCGTACAAAACGCGCAAGCTCGCTGATAAAAATCCCTACCTCCCGTGTTAAAGAGAATAAATTCAGGGAAAATTAGCCTGAAATTTGCTACGGAATAACTTTAGCTAAAAAATTGCTGGTCTTGTTAACATGAACTAGAAACATTTGCGAGAAATACATATAGAGAGTGTGAAGCTTGCGCTTCACATATTATACTTGCCGGAGAAAAATAGGAAGCTATTTATCATTAACAGCTGCAAATTATTGAGACAGTAACCGGTATGACCGTATCTCAATTGTTGTGCGTATTCTTATCTTTAAATATGATAATAGTAGTAATAATGCTACAATGATGAAGACATTCAGGAAACGATTCAATTTTTTAACTATTCCTTTTATTTTAAAACTTAATTAAGTCATATTGAAACGAAATCCCACTCAATCCAAAATCATCAGTAGAGAACTCACTTCTTACTATTGTACTATCTTTTATATAGTCTCAAATTACATTTATTCCTGCTGTTAATTTTAATGTGCGGAAATTAAATATTGTGTCATATATATATATTATATATATATATAAATATATATATTGTGTCATTCACTGACCAGTTTAGGTTTGTTTCCATTTATTCCTGCTGTTAATTTGGATGAGCGGAAATGAAATATTTAAAATATATATATTGTGTCATTCACTGACCAGTTTAGGTTTGTTTACATTTATTCCTGCAGTTAATTTGGATGAGCGAAAATTAAATATTTAAAATATATATATTGTGTCATTCACTGACCAGTTTAGGTTTGTTTACATTTATTCCTGCTGTTAATTTGAATGAGCGGAAATTAAATATTTAAAATATATATATTGTGTCATTCACTGACCAGTTTAGGTTTGTTTACATTTATTCCTGCTGTTAATTTGAATGTGCGGAAATTAGATATTTAAAATAGATATACTGTGTCATTCACTAACCAGTTTAGGTTTGTAGGGCGTCTCGACTTCTTTCCTCTCAATTTTGCTCCAGTCGATGTATTTGTAGAAGGGATGGCACTGAATGTCTCCGTATGGACTGTATGGAATACCCAGCCGCTTCGTACAGTCTTTGTCGAGCAACTGAAATGTTTAAATACGAAATTAATAATTAGTTTTGAATATTAATATAATATTATAAATGTTACGTATGTAATCTTTAATAAATAATATCTTATGCTAGTTTTAAATTCAAGCCAACGTCCAAAACTCACTCCATGCAATTTCTCACGTTAGTCGCGTTCTGTTTTTTTTTCTACCACTAAATACTATAATGTACCTATAATGTATTTTATATATAATGTATAATGTGATCACAATGAGAATGGAATATTCTTTGCTTGTTCACAATTCATTACAAGATGTAAATTCTAAGCGGGACTTTGAAATACTTCCAATTGTAATTATTCAAAACCAACTGGCATGAAATTACGTGCAGTCAACATCTGACTGCATTTAATGTCGGTAAATTCTCATTTATTTGGTCGGCTTAATTTTCGTAATGGAAACGTATAATTTGTTCTTGATCTTTCGGTCTAAATTCTAAAATTAATATGATTTCCACCACGTTTGTAAGAAATATTTCTAATTCTGAAATTTGGATGCAAGGTCCCTTCTGCTCATCATTGTAGCTCAATTTTTAAGTTGAAATTAAAAAATTCTCCCTCATTCATGACTAACTCTCATATCACTTGTAAATGATATGATAAAATTGTTCGACAAATTTCATGATGATTCGTTCATTTTCCTATACCTCAGTGTATCCAGATTAATTAAAAATCTTTGTTATCTTTCATTAACTCAATTAATTTTCAGGAGTAAGCATTCCACGTAAAATTTGTACAAATATCCCAACAACTCATCTCCCCCGGGCTCCCTGGCATCCCGATGTGGGAAGTTGTTTTGGATTTGCTTTCTCATTATGAATAATTGTCTCATTAAGAATAATTGCGGCTCGATGAAATGAACGCTCCAGCAATTCCTCTTACAATTGATAATTAGTTCGCAGGGATACAAAGAGCATCCCTGCGCGGCTCAAGTGATTATCGAGAAACTTAATATGCAGAAAATCTCCCACCAAAACCATCAAAGAACGGCATTCAAACAGCTCTAATGCTTCATTTGACGATATTTAATGGTTGATTGAAAACTAAAAAGGATTGATTGTTAGTTTTTGATATTTATCAATTTTTTAATTGAATTGTTGGTGTGAACATTTAAGCTGTCGTCTATTTTTTTTTTTTTTTGCGTACTCTGTAAAATGTATGGTAGAAATATTCGCTGCTCATAAAAAGTGATTATGTTTGTAGCTAACTTAAAATTTTACGACTAATAGTTTATGTAAGAATAATTCTTGACTAAAATGTTCTTCCGTTTCAATTTCAATAAATCTATTCCGACACTAATTTCTTAAGTGAAGTCGTCGTGGAGCATTCATAGAATTGAAAACTCTCCACCAAGCTTCTCTGCGCGTGAAATATATCGCAGAATAAATTTATAAAAGTTACTGGTATCATTTGCTAATTGAACTTCTCTGCCCATAAAAAATATTATTTGAATAATTTTGGGGAAAAATGTTTCCTATTTTCAAACGCATATACTCCTGGATAATTTTTTCGCGTGAGCTATACTGTCGCTGATTGGAAACTTCCAATTCTTTGATGCATTTATAAATTGAGAAATTGCATGGTTTAAAATTAATTTAATGAATGTGATAATGAGTATGATGTGTGCGATCCATGTGAGTCAGAGATATCAGTGCTCATGTGAGGTGATGATGATAATGAGGGTGATCATAAGAAGCAATTATGACGATGATGAGAGTGGTCATAAGAAGAAATTATCAGGATGATCTCTATGATATTTTTAGGTCTGTCGAATAACTGGTGAAATAATTCCGTATGAAAAATTATGAACTAAACATTAAATTAATATTAAATAATGAGTCATACATGCGCATTTGAATTCGATGCATGAATGCGCAATTATATGTGAGAATCGTAAGAAAATTAACTTCCGGTAGAGATGCACGACGCTTTCCGAGTTAATTAGTCGTTCTAACTTCGATGAATGTCTTATTAAGATCTTGCTTCAAACTGGAAAATTGTTGATAAAAAATATCAAAATGTTCTCATATTTAAGCATAAATGCTTTACCTCAATATATTCATCCATGCATGTCGCTTCATCGGTTGTTTTTTTCCTAAAATATTACCTAAAAATCCTACCACATCTTATTTTAAAAACTTTTCAAAATTGGAAAAATTTTACTTTTTTCCCCAAGTGCGATTTTTAATTTGCTCCTGAAAAATTTTGTGGTTTGAATTTTTACGTGACTTTTGAGTATCAACCAATCCAAAACGCGCTTGTGTGTGTTTATTTCCTGACATTTCGTGGTTGCGAAACATTGTGAATTTTAACGACTTCTTTTCCCTCGTTTAATTCGCTAAAACATTAATGAGATCAAACTTGAGTTGCGAGCTTCAGCAAACGAAACTAAGTCTCGGGTAAACAAATAAAAACTTCAAAGTGCGCAAGTAAAAGACGCTTGCCTTATTTACACGCAAAGTTGCGCGTAGACTTTTGCCGCTGATGCGATAACTTTACGCATATCCAGGCAGTAATTTTAATCAGCTGATTACTTCTGTCAGTGAGCGCTAGCCTTGCAACTCCTGGTTTTCATGTCTGGTTTTTTCACGAATAATTTTGCTTGCTGCTCGTCAGTCCTTCTATTGATGAGCTCACTCAGTGGAAAACATGTTCAGATCAAAAGCAAACTGGCGAGAATTCTCGCAAAATTCGGTACGAGTTGAAAACCGCCGGGTTATTTTTTATTTTTCCTCAAACGCTTATTTTTAGGGCATTCAGAATCAAATTTGACATATTTTTTTATTCTCAGATTGAGATTTTTGTGAGACATGAGAAGTTAATACGAAATTAGATTTTACAAAACTGTTGGAAGTATTTATTAATGATGAAAATCGGAAGAAAATTATAAATCCGGTTCATCGACACTCAATTGCACCGAGAAAATGACAATCTTAAAGCCTTATAATTTTTGCTGAATTAAATAATCCTCGTTAAAATTAAATCAATGAATATTTTTTCACTATAACTAATAATTTTGGTTTTCGTCTTCTCAAGATATGTTGTGTTCCTCACTTTGAACAGAGATTGAATTAATATTGATTTCCTGTAGTTCAGCATGAAAGTCTTGCACTGTCACTTAACAGTTCAAAATCACGGAGTTCACAATGTTGACACTCCGCATTCTCTCCACTTCGCACTTTCCTTTTACTCCTTAACTTTCCTCGGTTGATGTTTCCCTTTTATACCCCACGCTTCACTGTTTCTTGCTCCGTACTTCCCCACGTGGGATCCTGTTTCCCTACTATACACGATCTCCCCATCTCCAGGTCAATCCCTCACCCTTCAGCTCAATTCCGCCAGCTCTATCCCTCCATTCCCCCAAGACAATCCCTCCACCGCCAGCTCTATCCCTCCATTCCCCAAGGCAATCCCTCCAGCCCCAGCTCTATCCCTCCATTCCCCCAAGGCAATCCCTCCACCGCCAGCTCTATCCCTCCATTCCCCAAGACAATCCTTCCCCCAGCTCTATCCCTCCATTCCCCAAGGCAATCCCTCCAGCCCCAGCTCTATCCCTCCATTCCCCCAAGGCAATCCCTCCAGTTCCAGCTCCATCCCTCCATCCCCCCAACACAATCCATCCACCCCCAACACAATCCATCCACCCGCAACACAATCCCTCTACCCCCAACACAATCCATCCACCCGCAACACAATCCCTCTACCCCAACACAATCTATCCACCCCTCCAACACAATTCCTCTACCCCCAACACAATCCATCCACCCGCAACACAATCCCTCCACCCCCAGCTCTATCCTTCCATCCCCCAAACACAATCCTTCTACCCCCAACACAATTCCTCCATCCCCCAGCTCTATCTTTCCACCCCCAGCACTTCTTCCCCCATAGGCCCTCGCCCCGCCTGCCGGTATTCCACAACACGCGCGGCCAACACTTATGCTGCGCTCACTGTCACACTTGGACACGAATTCCTCTTGTGTTTTGTGCCACTAAACTTGGCCAGATAACGAGGGACCTTCTTGCCTTACCTATCCGTAGCACTGCTGTGCTTCCAAGCATCTTTTATGACAATAATAAATAATAAACATGAATAAAGAATGAACTTCCTTGTCAACTGTAATTTCCATGAAACGTCTTCAGTGAAAAAAAGTAATTGCATTGGGTTTTTATCCGTTATCAAAAGAGAGTTATTAGACCGAAACGTAATACTAATCTGATATAGTTAAGAAATTTATTCGGTTAGTTGATTGTGATAACTGTGGTTGATATTTCCCGTTGCTTAGCCGCAGCTCTGACGCTTCTTAATATTTCATATATTTTAAAACTTCATCACAGTTGTAACTTATTTTGAATTTGAACATAATTTAATTTATGTTTTCAAACCATTCTTGTGATAAATGTCAATTGCTGGTGGCTTCGAATTCATTTTGAGTGAAAAGCTTTGTGTTAAAATGAAATATCTTGCGAAGCCGGCAAATCGGTTGCTGAACTACATAAAGGAAAGGTTGCGTTCCTTTATGAATTTATGGAGTCAAAATTTCAAGGTATGACTTATTTATTATTTGATATATATTGAAAACTGCTTATTTTTTCCAGCCTCACAAATATTTAATTTTTCGTACTATCAAAACCTTCCGTCATCTTTATTGCGCCTTTTATACTAAAATATATGTTTTCAACCCGATTGAATATTATTATTTTTTTTAAAGAACCCGCAGCTGTCTATTTTCACCTTCGTTATTCATGATTGTGCCTGCGTTATATTTACAAACAGCACGCCATTTTGCCATGTCCCTAGCACAAATTTAATGAATAATCCAACTTCTTTAATTCATTCTCAATTCCGAAAACTAAATCAAAAGTTTCTTAAATTCTGTCATCGCAATGTAACATATGAGGCTCTCCCTAATTCATGCATGGCCGATATTTTATAGCAATATGGAGCGTAACTGCTGCCTTTTGACTGTAATGTTTTGTTGAAATATAAGACCCAACAACCCTGTTTGATGATTGGGTGGTGATTAGCTTAAATAACTCACGTTACTTGAATATTTTACAACTATTTAAGACTACTCTGACTTGCTTAAGGAGACTCTTTGTCTGATGGCGATTAAATTATAAAACCAGCTTGCCTTGAATTCTTGAATATTTTACAATCATATGATATTAACCATCTATTTGAGGAGACATATTTAAAGCAATATAAAGCTTTACTGACTTGTTTGAGTAGACTCTGCGCCTGGGTGGTAAGGAAACGTGGGTAGAAAGGCACCTCGTTATTAACCATTTATTTTAGGAGACAGATTTTAAAGCAATATAAAGCTTTACTGACTTGTTTGAGTAGACTCTGCGCCTGGGTGGTAAGGAAGCGAGGGTAAAAAGGCTCCTCGTTGCAGATGAGCCAAAAAAGATGGTCTTCGTCGCAGCCTTTGAATGGCGACTTGCCGACCATCATCTCGTACAGCAGCACGCCGAAACTCCACCAGTCGACGCACTGATTGTAGTGCTGACCTTTTATCACCTTAAATAAAAATACACAATGAATTTGTAGCCTTTGATTAAAAACTATGTCACCTTGAGTGACAAAACACAATGAATATGTAGCATTTCTTTAATAACTATGCCACCTTGAGTGATAAAACACAATGAATTTGTAGCATTTCCTTAAAAACTATGTCACCTTGAAGGAAAAAAGGAACACAATGAATTTGTAGCCTTAATTTAATAACTATGTCACCTTGAACAAAAAAAAACACAAAAAATTTGCGGCCTTTCTTTAAAAACTAAGTCACCTTGAACGAAAAAAAAGCACAATGAATTTGTAGCCTTTCCTTAAAAACTATGTCACCTTGAATGAAAAAAAAAGATCACAATGAATTTGTAGCCTTAATTTAATAACTATGTCACCTTGAACAAAAAAAAAACACAAAAAATTTGCAGCCTTGCTTTAAAAACTAAGTCACCTTGAACGAAAAAACATAATGAATTTGTAGCCTTTCTTTAATAACTATGTCACCTTGAATGATAAAACACAATCAATTTGTATGAAAGGATTTGGTTTTTAATATATGTAATTTTTCCGGTTACCTTGATATTTGAAGAACTGTATTGCCAGATTGAAATTGCGTCGTTGTAGTGATGTCGTTGAATGATAGAAAAGCGTTTATGATAACATACGAGCTGAATTAATGTAAATAGGTTGCATACAAAGGTGAGATTGTCGGCAAATTTTAATGAAGGTTTAGAATCCTCTTGAAATAGGTCAGCAACATTGTGCTACAGAAATTATAATAATATTGTGCCCGGTCCTCACCACCGGGCCAAGAATTAATTATTTAATATTTATAATTGATAATAATTATGATTTTTTCATTCTCACCTAGCCGATGTTTGATCCCTTGAATGTATGGGAGTGTTTTCCTTGAAATCGCAAAGTTCATCATGAAATACTTAATCAATTTTGTTTTTAAATTTTACTGTATATATTTATAACCTGATATAGAATTAAAACGTTCAATCGTTTGAAAAATTGCACTTCTTAAAGAATTAATCTCTCTTATAGAATTAATCTAATTTTACAAGTATTCATTACCATTTTACTGCCCCTACCTTTTATTTTTTGGCATATATACAGTACGTATATTCTATTTATACGTATTTCTATAGTCTTATAAATTCTTTGTTGTTTATTGTTTTGGCTATTAGCCGTGCTCGAATCTTCTTGCTCTAGTATTATATGTACACAAACTCGCCTTGTCGAGCAAAGGCTTTGAGCCTACAAAAATAAGTGAGTGCATTACTCGTTGCCTAAGTAACCTCTTAACGGTAACCAGAGGAGGCCCAAAATTTGCATTTTCCTCGTCCGGCCGCAGAATAAGCAGAATTTCAGAGGCTGCGATCTCTGCGTTCGGCGAGCATTTCGGCATTGCCTTGACGTTAGGCCTTAAACTCAAAGATCAAAACACATACCGAACGTTGAAAGCTATGCACTGTCATTAAGTCTTGAATTAATTCCTTGAACGTAAGAGGCCTTAACCTTCAAGATACTGAATAAGTACCCAACTTCAAAAGCAATTCACTTGCGTGTGAATATTGCAATAAAAAAATCGAATATGTTAGTGCCTACAAATTTGTGAAACATAGGAAAGTCTACTTTACTTATGTTTTAGATGATTTACGCAGCTCGTAACAATTTTTGAATCAGATGTAGATTTTTACGCTCCATCAGCACTTTTATCTCAAGTTCACAATAAGTGGAAATATTCGTTAATTTTTAGTATTTATTTACTCACACGGTGCTCAAATTATCCTACGAAAATGTTGTTTAGGCATCAACTATTTGGAAAAGTTAATTTTGCCAAATTTGAAAGACATTCAGAATTTATAAGTCAAGAAATCAACAGCCTCATGACTCTTATTTCTTCCATTTGGTGAACATTCCAGTCGATGAAGGCTTTCCTAGCATAATATAGGTTTTCGATAAGTTAAACGCGTCAAAATTAATTTAAATTCTTGCTTTTTTATCATTCAATTATAATCAATTATAGTCAATAGTCTTTTTATCCTTCAATTATAATCTTTTTCAGGGGCGATATCTTTAACTGTTCGCAGTGAATTTGATGGTAAACTCAATAAATTCATGTCATTTTTCACTAAGGTTCCTATAGTACACTTGACTCATCGATACTTTAGTCTGATTTTAAAGCGGTAATAATTTCCGTGTCAGTACTAAAATGACAACAATTTAGATTGATTTGGATTGATCTCAAACACAGACGTTTACATCTGAATGACTAAAGCACTTCCATCGAAAAACACTGATGTGCTTTAATAGTCTGAAGTTAGTACAATCTTCAATCATGCATCTTTTTCATCTCGCGCCTCACTCGCTTTTAAACTCGCAATATACCACAATCGATGTATCTTAATTTAGCTACTGTGTGACTGGCCAACAATAATTCTATCATCTGCGCCAGTTTTGCTATCATGTCTACTGAGTAACGACTTTTTTCAGCAGATTCTTTCACTATAGATTAAGGGATTATTTCTCCGGATCCCTCGGTATTGTCTTACTTGCCCTTCATATTCAAACTAATATTTTTGATTTACTGTTCCATAATTTACTATTTTTCAAATGTTTAAAGTTAGGACGATTTTCCATCTCCTTTATTTGCTCAAACGCAAGTTTTCCGAAAGGATAAAGGTATATTTACGAACAACTAAAGTGATGAAATAAATTATTTCCTAACTCATGTATTCGCGTTTTGCCGTTTTTTGGTTACCTAATTTCCAGTTGCTGCTTCCCAAACAAAGATATTTTCTTGAGCTCTCCCTTAACTGTATTTCCATCTCAAACACTGACCCATTTTAAACTTAAAAACTGATGCACTTCCGCTTAAACACTGACATACTTTGCTCGGGAATAGTATCGAATATGATCAAGCATCACAATCTTTTTTTGTCAACTCAAGTTAATAACATCAAAGTTTTGAAAGTTTTGAACATTTCCACGTTTTATTCGTTCATGTTTAATATACAGGCTGGTAAGAAGTGCGAAAAACATCACGCGTATAGCAGACGTATGAGATAAATTCATGAGCGTTTCATCTCTACGCATGGCAGTGCTAAAGTGAGTTACATGAGAGAGGCAGAGATACGCTGTCCTCAAACAACTTCAATCCCGGACACTGATGCACTCGCCTCTCAAACACTGACGCATTTCCATCTCAAATACTAACACGTTCCCATCTCAAATACTGACATGTTTCCATCTAACTGACGCGTTTCCATCTCAAATACTAACACGTTCCCATCTCAAATACTAACACGTTCCCATCTCAAACACTGACGCGTTTCCATCTCAAATACTTACACGTTCGCATCTCAAACACTGACATGTTTCCATCTTAAACACTTATGCGCTTGCCTCTCAAACACTGGCGCGTTTCCATCTCAAACACTGACGCGTTTCCATCTCAAATACTTACACGTTTCCATCTTAAACACTGACACGTTTCCATCTTAAACACTGATGCGCTTGCCTCTCAAACACTGACACGCTTCCATCTCAAACACTGATACATTCACATTCGCTCGACGCTTGGGTTCTGCAATGGTTATGGCGGCCATTACACGAGCATAACAAGTGCATGTGAGCTCCTGCAAATCGTCCTTTATTTCCGAGTCCTTGAATATTGTGATCAATTTTACGTTATTTTATACGTTTTAAGGCTTACTCTGTTTGATACAGTAGACGATTCGATCTTGGGAAACAGGCCATCTGCACGACGGTGATGAGACGAAGGATCGCCATGAGCAAAAATAAAAGGATGCGAGGTGCGTTTTCCTTGATATTTAGATAGTATTAATATTGGTAGTATTAGGTAATAGTCTCGATGTTGGATATTAGTATTTATATTATCGATAGTAATGGAGTACTATCGGCAGTTTTTTCAGTCATCAACCAGCAAGGGGCTCTCTAGTAATTCAGGGTGACGGTTTGTTGGTTAAAATCATAATGAGCTTATCGAATTAATGCAGCGCAAATAAATTGTAAAAAGTAATGACAAAATTTTCGTATTGCTCTTGCACCAACAAAAAAGGTAAAAGCAATATAGAAATGAAGGTGAAATTCTTGTTTCTGAGCCAGGCGGAAATAATTCATGTAACTTTTTTGAGTTAGTAGATGTACAGTTGAATGCAGTACATGTACGACACTCGGGGTTATTGAGAGTTATTGAGAACCAAATAGTGAAACATTAAGTATTCTTTGCCATTGAACTATTGAGGGCTGCGTACACGCATGAAACCTTAATTAATTTTTTAAAATAATGGCGGATATTCCAACAACAATAGTGCTGGTCCAGTGCTTATTCGGAAAGCAAGATTTTTTGTTTTCTATTTTTTATGAAATTGTCATCAAACTATCGACTAAACTAAATAAGACACTAACTGGGCTGTATTGCACTTTTAACTTTATCTCCTAACCTAATCCGTCCAGAAGTCTAAATAAATCATTCCATCTCTCAAGAACACATCATATGCCTCTGTATTGCAGAGGCCCAACAGCGAACGTCGCAGAAAATTTCACGCTCTATTCGGGACAGGCGGACTACAGAGGAAGCATTTGTTAACAATGGATACCACCAAAACAAAGGCTCGTAGTCCGGGGTTTGTGGTTTGCCGTGTCATGGTTTTAAAGCAGCTTTCCGGCTAATAACATTTTACTTCGTAGGAATAATGGACCACAGTTAACTGGAGCTGGTGCATTCATGCAAGGGGAAACGCATGACGCTAAAAGCGGACCAACCGACTCAAGAAATTCAAAGTTAGTGACTAGTCTCAGGAAAATAAAACTTCATCGCATGCGTCGCGTCTGCAAAGACTCGCCGAAGAACTGCTCGTCCTGCAAGGCAGCTTATTTAAATTAAGAACGTCTTGGACTCGCATTCACGTCAAGCAAAAAGAAAGTATGAGAGATTAAGGTCATGCTTTATTGTAAACTTTTTTAAGACGTGAGTTTAAGACATTGCATCATTTTTTATCATCTGCATATTTCACCTGCTGCAAATCCATTTTAATTGACGCTTTGTAATCATAAACTCCTTCAGAATTATTATCACAATCTGTATATTTGACCTGTATATTATATCTGACTGTATATTATTATCTGTATATTTGACCTAAAGTTTTATTTGAAATTTCTGTGATTCGACGGTAAGCGCACCTATCTGAAAAAAGTGCCATGATGCTTTGAGCTTCCTAAAATTACAAATTTACCAACCAACTTACACAGTGAGATTCGCTCCCAGTCTTGTAAAATTAGCAATAAATTTTGCTTGCGATGGTTATGATCAACAATTTTTTCTATCTCCTGAATAATTTTACCTAAAAGGAGATGCTTAAATTAGAAATATCATCGGAAGTTATAACATTTTCAAGGAGCACATGTACTACAATTAAGATATTATGAAATTTATGACGAAACTACGAGTAGTAGCTTTGAGCTGTTACACAAGGAAACGTCGGCGCTGTTGCTTCTTTTTAATGCTATCCTTGCAGTCATCGCTACTCGAAGAATTCTAGTTATTCAAAAGGAATTTAAAAGCAAAGAAAACGCCAAGAAAATTCACCATATCGATATTGAAAACGTTTCGGTGTCCAGCTCCATCATCAGGTCGACTAAACTAAAAATGAATAAAATCACTTTAAAAGTCAAAATTCAAAGATAGACATAAAACCTAAACAAGACCTAACATTATATCGAAATAAACAGGATTCAAAGTATATAGTATTTACACTCACCTCGGGTGCCATGTAGTCCGGAGTCCCACAAAAAGTGTCCGCAAATTTGTCGAGGTAAATTTGTAGTTTACACATGCCGAAATCCGCGATTCTTATGTGGCCTTGATAGTCCAGTAGAATGTTGTCCAACTTCAGGTCTCTGTGAAATTATTCCATATCAGAAATTATTTGCAGTTAAGACCAATTTTTTTGATGATTAAATAAAACTTTTTTGCCGCTTTGAAGATATTCAATATTAAGTCTATCTACAACTTAAAACCATGTAATCTAGTATAAAATTAAATTTCAAATTTCAGATCGAAAGATTGCATATCTTTAGAGTTTACTTCAGTTAAAAGAATTAAAAAATTTCAAATCAATGATTGTATTGCAAGAAATTTGCAAATGCTAATTATCTATTTTACATGCAGTAGAGACCTCAATTTAGATCACAGTATTTTTTAATTCGTCCTCAAAAGGTTTTATTTCAGTCTTTCAAAGTGGAAAATTTCACGCAGTAGTTATTATACAAGTCGAATTGGCGTTTAGATTCTATAGATTGAAAATTACTTTTCTAGGAATGATTTTGCACTTTTACAGATTTATTCAAAATCTTGCTATGACGGTTGTGACTGGAGGACGAATTCTCGAACAATTGCCGCGCTACCACGTAGTTCAAAATTCAGTTGACTTTGAAAATACTAAACATCTTTTGCCATACTGACATTGAGATTAAACGTGACGAAAAACGACTGTCGATAGTCATGATTATAATTTTGCCTTGAAAATTCCTACCGAACGCCGCAAACCTTTACTACCTATAAAATTTTTTCAGCAGAGTATTTTTTTTATTTTTATTTTTCGTACCGGTAAGGTTGTTATGTATCCAGGCTACCGGGCACAGGAGCGTTTTAAAAAATTGATTGAGCTTGTCGTGAGCTCAAAGATGCGCGTCAAACGATATGACATTGACAACATTTTCTCTCCATGACATTTTATGTACAATAGAAAACGATGAACTTTGCCAATGTTAGTGAGTCTCATTTTATGCCGGTATACTAAATATAGCTGGTTGTATATTTTGGTTTGCATTTGAAGTTTTACTAAACTCTGGAACCTGTTCCCGGGCTCTTAAAAATATAATGATGTTTATATGATTATAATATTAGAAATGTAAAGGTAACATACTGAAAATTAGAGTAGGTAGGCAAAGTAGGTGCGGTGCGTTCGTTAATATCAGTTAAATACATATTACTACTTTTGCACAAAATCCTATAACTCTAGTAAGCCTCCACAGCATCCATTTTATTAGAAGCTCAACCAAAAAGTCTAATAAACTCTTTCTATCTACATCCATGATATATGATCATACCTGTATATTATGCCTTTGTTGTGTAGAAATCTCAAGCCAGAGCAAATTTCCGCGGAGTAGAAACATGCGCGATATTCATCAAAACGTCCGGAGTGCTGGATGTGAAACATGAGATCTCCTCCAGTCAGATACTCCATCACGAAGAACAGGTGTGACTGCAAAGATAGAACACTCTTTGTTATACAATAAATAATAATTACCCATGAAGGCATCTGACGTTGAAATAACATTGATGAAACGTTTTTTCTGCTTGTAATGATACAATTATTGTGAGATATATGTATTAAAAATCTTATAAAGTTACTGTCAACTGAAATAATATTACTGTAGAGCTCTGTTGGGGTAATTTAGATAAGAAAATTTATTTCAGCTTCCACGTATGGCTTTGGAACTTACGCAAAACAAAAACATGACCGTGCTTTTGCGAGAATTTTTATTCTTTCTGAGATGGCGGATGAGAAGTCCACGGATAGTCGAGCCAATATTTGAGTTACTTCTGTCATATGAAAAATTATTCGGCCCTTCGACTCTTTTATATGATACAGGGTGCGGCGTGGGAACTTACTCTTTTAAAAAAATCACAAAGTAAAAAGTATTAAAGATAGCGTTTTAATTCTTTCTTTTTTACAAAGAGCTACATTTAGCGCGCTCCTCTCTCGACCACTGCATGGTCGCAACTGAACTGAGTGGACGAAAAACTTCATAGCCCGCGCACCATATTGCGCATGGCGCCACCTTCCTAGGACTAATGGCCGCCACGTGGCGCGCAATTCAAATAAGTAAGTTCCCGCGCCGCACCCTGTATTTGCATTTTAATCCACAACCTTCATGAAAACACACATCTAAATATTTTTACAGTTTTACATTTTTAATTGACGAAACATATTCAATAAGATGAACGAATCTAATTTTGTACCCAATTCAATGTTTGAATGCAAATATATTTATTGCAAGAAAGAAGCAGTCTTAACTAAGAACAATTTTTAAAATTAAGAATAATTCACCCAACATCAGAGAAATTTGGCTATTTCGAAATGGCATGGCAAGTTCTAATATATTCGGTTGTGCACCATACTGTTAACGAAGGTTTGAGATGAATATTCTTCAGAAAAATTGAATGCTAGTCGTTTTATTATGGTTGACGATATTAATTCATTATTATATATATTAATTCATTATTAAAATTTTTTACATGAGCACAAAAAAATCAAATTCATTAAGGAGTGAAATCCTGAGATGGTAGAAGTCAATCGAGTGGAAATTCTCTTCTGTTCCATATAACATGAAAGAATATAATTTAGTCACTATATAACAGAGATAAATTCATTAATATTTTATCTATAATTCATTTAGTTTTGCAGAAATTTATTGAAATGTATACAACAGTATTTATTATGTAGAATAAAGACATCGAATCGAGTGTTGGAACTAAGTGCTATATTTATATATTATCCCTAATCCCAATTCTACCCATTCATTCTGCACTAGTAAACCATCTTTTAAAAATCTAAAATCTGAAGGCAATGATTCTAGTTGTTAGTCATATAAATGGTAGTGTTTACTTCAATATTAAGTCAATCGTCAGGAAGATTAAGGCAAGATTGATCTTCACTGAAATCTCGATCTTATATTTTATCGTATTTATTTTAAAATGCCCGAGTGACGCGTTTGATCAAGGAAAGTCAGAGTGCAGCTTATGCTTTCAGTATTTGTGACATTTTCAGGTCGAGAGGCAAGGAGCTTTCTTTCAAGATTGAGTGCAAAGAAGTACTAGGAGTGACGAGGCGAATGGTCCAGGGAAAGGCTTTCGTTTCTGCGCCATTTCATCCAATTTGCGGCTGTAATGTACAGTGCACTGAAAGGACGACTATTCCCATTTATCATCTCTATTCCGGTGACCTTATAGCCCCACTTGAAACGCCATTTCTTTCTTCTTGCACAGTTTTCAAGGCAACACTTCTTGCCCTCTAAGAATACCCCATATACTTTTGTATATTTTTGTGAAGTTTCGTATATTTTGTATCGTTTTGTATCGTTAAAAACACCCGTGTGATTAGTTAACATGAACGTTCATTTATCGTATTTTTTACAAAAACGTACATACGTAGTTATTAATTAGAGCGATGCAAGATTCGGGACAGTATTTCTTAGCCGAAACTTGCGCTATCAAATTTCACTTTTATATTATGGTTTAATCATATTATTGTTAGGGTTTTATAGAGCACGTTTTAATTCATCAAGTATTTTTATATTCAACAATTATTTTTGGGTTTAGAGAAATCTGTATATTACGTGCACGGGTTAGGAATGGCAGGCTTGTCATTGTTGTGCGGAACCGTGAAGGAGGTGTCGTGTGTAATCAGGGTAGTTAAGAGGCTCTTGGAATGCAAATGTGTGTAAATAGGCGTGGAATCTAGGCTGTAAACTATGGTGAAAATATATTCAGTTGTTGGTCTAAAATTAGGATATTCAATTGCGTATGTATTCATTTGTATTTATTTATGAGTCCATTAGGTTACATTCGTTGATTCATTATTGATGAATTTCAGGAAAGCCTCAAGACTTGAGAATTCTACACTTAAGAATTACACCCTTTAACTAAGAAACTCGCGTATGACTTGAGCCTTGGGAAGGGAGAAAAGGGGTTTGAAGGACGACACGAGCCACAAATGAGCAAGAGTGTTTGGGTCTAGCTGGCGTAAGGATTGAGCCCACAATATTATTTCAATCGTTTATGTGGCTTGCTACATGTGCCGTAGACATAAAGTAATCGAACACTACTCGATGTACTAGCCATATATATTTTTTTTGCATACAGTAACAGTTCACCATTCAATAATTGCTAATCCCAAGGTATAGAATAATTATTAGTACTGCACTCGCGGAGAACTTTCCCTCGCTGAAGGCTGAAATTATTAGAACTACAACCAATATGAATTCTCAAGGAAAATTTTGTTTCAGTAAATTAAATCACGAAACTCAAATTAATTCTTCATTATATACAGTCGACGCTGACTTTTTCCTTCGTCTCTGGCGTACACACGCAAAAATGCTCCAAATTTTTCTGGGCCAAAAAAACAAATTCACGGGATATTCATTCTACGTTCCGAATTGAGAAAGAAATACTCCAACTTAATATTTCTTACACAATGCGGATGTTTTATAACCCGAAATATATTTTTTATCGTGTTACTCGTAAATAATATCCATCACCTTATTAAGAATTGCTTACCTATCTTGAAAATATGATTCATGAAAGAAAATAGTGTTTAAGTGACAATTTTCATTTCTTCTTCAGTTCCAAACTCTTATAAGATATTTCTAATTGTTCTCGTATGATAACAAGTGTTATTGTTCTCCCGAGACCAAAGTAAAAAAATTGTGACCATGCAAGCAATCCTAGATTGCTGATTAAAATAAATAAATGGCTTTAAAAGGCGACATAATACGAGGTTAGTGAGAAGCCTGATGTGCGAAAGTCAATTTGGGTGACGAAAAAAAACTAAAACGAGAGACTTGGGTGACTAGAAATAGGAAATTGAGAAACATGTTGGGGAAAAGTCAATTTTGATGAAGAGGACAATCGAAAAAAAATGGATTGAGATAGGATATGAATTCGGCTCGTACGAACAAGAAAAATCTGAAGCCTAAAGTGTATAAATAAATTTGACGGACTGAGACAAATAAATAAGAAGACTACGACGGGAGAAAGAATTGCTCACAATAAGAAAAATCAAAACATTGAGGCTGGAAAGTGAATTTGGCAAACGGGAAGAGGGAAAATGAGAAGCACGCGGCGGAGAAGCAACTCGATAAGAAGCGTTCGCTGCCTTGTCGACGTCCAGGTTCCTTTTTCTGGCGGACTGCCAAGAGCTGATGTGCTGCAGCTGATGTGCTGCAGCTGATGTGCTGCAGCTGATGTGCTGCAGCTGATGTGTTGCTTTTGAAATTTTGGAACACATTTTCTAAAATATTTGAGCTAAATAATTTACCTGATATCTTTCACTTCTGCAGTGCATCTGCAGTGCTGAAAATCACCTACAGCAGGTGTTGTATTGCTAATGTAAATTTTTTCGATTTAAAATAAGAAAATTTTGCATCTCATATGTCAGTATATTGGCTTCGTTCATAATATGTGAATTGATAAAAGACAATTAGAAGGAAGACCAAATCTGTTCAATAATTCGTGATATATATTTATATCATTAATGTACTTAAATCGCAAGTTAATAATTTACCAAAAAAACTATTAATAAATTTTGTTGACTCTCCTCATCCTCGGCCTGGTGGGAGACAATATTCAACAAGCCTATTCCAGTTATAGATTGCCTCCAGACACCAGGTCTGATTTAATTAGATGATTAGCGCCTGGGCGTCCGGTGCCCAAACTGCGACGTTTAAGCTTAAGATGGAGTCACGAATATGGTAGACTTGATGTATTTTATGTAAACCCAAGTAGATGAGTTATCACAGTAGCTGAGTTATCACAGTAGCTGAGTTATCACAGTAGCTGAGTTATCACCAATCGATTAGTTATCACAGTAGCTGAGTTATCACATTAAACCGAGTTATCACAAATAGCTGAATGATCGCAAATAGATGAGTTATCTCATCAAGTTGAACATTTAAACTTCTGTTAATCACACTCCAACATTAACCCTAGACATAATAATGTGGCCGAGTGGGCAAGTAAAGTTTATGATGATTTTGACTTTGAAAAAGTTTGAATTCCTTCTTTTTAAGAAAATAAAAAATTGTTGTTCATGGAAGAATTCGGGACAAAAAGTTGTCATAACACATGACACACCTATTAGCATTCCTGGTTAGGATGATTTTTGGTTTGATTTCTCCTTTGAATGTTTCATTTTAATTCCATAGATTTGTTTTTGTTGTATCAAGGTCATTTAAAATTAAGTGTGGCAATGTAATGGTCCATTGTTTAGCATTTTCATTATGTTTTATTTTGCCTTGGTACATTGTTCCAGTACCTCCTACACTAAGTCATATAGATTGCAGTTAGCAAATGAACATTTTGCCATTTTTTCGGCTTAAGGGGTCTGTGCTTTTTGCATATTTTTTACTTCTTATCCAATATTCTTGTTCAAAAATCATAGTGAATTGTTTACTTCCGATCAATTACGAATGATTCACACGAGTCACTTTTTGTTTGCTCACACCACGTTTAACATTTGTAAAACAATCGGTTCCAGATACAACGCGGTTCTCATTACTTGATGTACGAGCGAAGCATTCCAGCACCAAAGATGTCCATACAGCGGCCATTGATAATACGGTGTTGATTTACCTAAGGGTAAAACTGCTCGTGCAACTCAACAACTCATAAAGCAGACTTAAAAAGGAAATACTCATAAAACATATTAAAAAGGCCCTAAAGCTCAGAGTTGGGTACTGGTGTGATGGACGACCTCTATTTAGGTTCAGACTTGTACGCGCCTCACATAAATCTGGTCAAGTAATGAGCGCAGTAATTTCCGAACTGGGCAAGAAAGCGCCCACCCCTTCCCGAGAGAACAGGGAAAACAATGCTGGGGTGAGAGGGAGCGATGAAAACAGTGTATGGGGGAAGGAAACTATCAGGCATAGCCAGCTTCGTGGGAACAATGAAAACAATGTTGGGGTCAGGAAAGAGTGAAAAAAACACTGCGGTGAGAGAACAGGGAAAACAATGCTGGGGTGAGAGGAAACGATGAAAACAGTGTATGGGGGAAGGAAACTATCAGGCATAGCCAGCTTCGAAGGAACAGTGATGGAGGAATCTATCGGGAATAGGCTAAATCGTGGGGAGGTGTGGTATAGGTGTGGTGGAAGTGTGGTGGAGGTGTGGTGTGGGGACACTGAAAACAACACTGCGCTGAGAGACCAGTGAAAACGGGGAAAACAGTGCATGGGTAAGGGATGAATGAAAACAATGCTGGGGTGAGTGAACGGTGAAAACAATTCTGGGCAAGGGAAACAATGAAAACAGTGTAAGGGAAGGATGAAATATCAGGCATAGCCTTCTTCGTGGGAACAATGAAAACAATGCTGGGGTCAGGAAAGAGTGAAAATAATGCTACGGTGAGGGAACGGTGAAAACTATGCCAATGCGTGAGATTAATGAAAATATGTCTGGGTCAAGGTACCAGTGACAAAATTCTGGGGTGGAACAATGAAAACAATGCTGAAGCGAGGAAACATTGAGGAAAATTCTGGAGTCGGGGAAGAGTGAAAGCAACGATGAGTTTAGGAGACAGCAATAACAATACTATGGCATGATAATTTTGGAGGAAAAGCTGGTTGAAGAAACTGGAAACATTGCGAGTGTGAACGGGAACAGTGGAGTAAAAAATATTGAATCAATATCGCGAGATGGATCTAAAACGTGTATTTTAAATGTATGATCGAGAGTTAAGATTGAGGAGAACACTGCAAGCATTATAGTGGGTGGTGACACAGTGAAAGTATAATTGTATGAATGATAATACTTCTAAGAATTTTGTAAGTTTATTCTCAATTTAATTAGTGAACGGATATCAAAAAAGTTTCTTATTTTACTTTCGATATTTTCATTAACTTCATAACTATCTCTTAGAGTCAAATAATAAACAATGGAAAACCAGCCAAAATTAGGTACGCAATTTATTAAATTTAACAGAATTTTCAACTTCCCAAATTTAAAAAATGTAAGCTATTGCATTTTTTCGAGTTTCAGTGCAATAGTGACTTTGAGTGCATCAAATTAGCTTCGAATCTAAACGTATTTTTACACGTTCAATTTCTTGAGTACATAATCGGAATCCTTTTTTAAACACTTCCGAAATGTTTAAGCTATTCTATCGTGTTCATCTACGAGTCGTGCAATCAATTTCTTCTTATAGTTGTGAACTAAATATCTCAACTGAATCATATTGTCATGCATTCGATAGATAAAGTCATTTGGTTTATAATTTATGCTCATAAGCGAGTTATCTGTAAAGTATTCAAAAGGTTTATGTGAATATAAATAATTCACTAGTTCATCACTCCATTGAATAGTTTTTGGATGAAAGTAAAACAAAATAGAGCTTTTGTGTTCAATTATACACCTCGTTATCGATATTTTTTGCATAGTTCTTTAACCCTTGCTCAGCATTTGTGTGCTGAACGAATTTGCAATAAACCAATCTGTCAAAATATATGACGCTCGCTTGAGATTTAGTCTTTCATTATCGACTTTGCTAACTGAATTTTCATTTGCGAATAAAGTTTTCGATATGCCAATAATTATTTCATTTTGATCTGATCATATCGAAATTTTCTGCCAGCAAACTCTTATAGAGTTTAGAGAGCTGGAAGGAAGCTCGCCAAAAATACGTCTTCTAATCGAGCCTTGGCTTAAGATCAAAACAAAAGTCTTTTCAAAGTTGGCCAAAAACTTTCGTTTGGTTCCCGAACAAAAAATTTGACTCTCCGAGAAAACGCGTGCTAAATTTATTGAGATTAGGAAAGGCCATGATTAATGCTAGGCCGACCCGGAAAACATTTTTTTTATCGTGATTATTCCCAAGATCGCTCATGCCGACTGCGGCTCTGGCAGTAATCTCCCAGATTATTTTTTTGTGAACCTACTTTTACGATCAAATTTTTACGATGAAAATGAGCACGGCGAATAGATGCTGACAGGTAGCTATTCGGTTAGATTTTATTATTCATAAATGGCGTACTAGTACTAAATTAAGATAATTTCAATTTCATTCCACTAGTAGTCCGCCACAAATTCATAATTAAATTGCTCTGAATAACAGTGGCTTAAAATATCAATACCTTTAGGCTTCAAAAAATACTTCAGTCAAAAGAGATGTTTTTTTTTATGAAATACCCTATTCATTTCCTTTCGAACATCTTCATGGAGTATTTATCAGCTTCAATTTTCTTACAAATTTTTCAACATTTTTTGGCAAGCAGTTATTTCGGTGTCTGAGTTATTCGTATCTCAGTTTTGACTTGCATGAATCCTTCAATTAAATTTTCACCGATTAGCGGACCGCCTGCTATTTTTCCGTTCTAAGTCTCGACGTCAGTCGCAGCAATTTGTCGCAATTGAATGCCGTCTGAGCAGAGAATGGTTCTGTGTTCAATATCAAAGAGCTGCTGCAATTCCAATTGCTTGTTGTTGTGCGTGAATAACCGATCTTATCCCGCCACGCGTGACTTTCATAACCACGAGAATTCCAAATTGAACTAGGCCTAGATGAAGCCATTATTAGTCCATTAAATCAGCAACCGAGAGGCTGGCACTTATGTATATGTAGCAAAACGAATTAATTTAGCTGCTATTTTGAGTGATTGCCCTAAATTTACCAGATGGAGGAAAGAACAGATGTTAAATAATTTATTTTATGTAATTTAGCAGCTCCTCAAAATAATTTCTACTTAAAATTGCATTGAGTTTTGCTCTATATAAATTGATCATAAGAAACTAACGAAATATTGGATCTTGAAATAATTTTTTTTTCTGTTGGTTGTATCGTAAAATTTGGGATTTAAGAAAATCGGTGATATGAAAACTTTCATTGGTTAATTCAGATTCTCGACGATGTTAATTCACGTTACATGACGAATTTTGCAAATTATTCAACTTGAATACAATTATCCGTATGTGAATTTTTTTAGCAACTCACAATACACTAATAACGAAAAGATGGAAACTCGAAAATAATTTTGAATAAAAAACCTACGTAGTCTTTCACCCTTTTCTATTTCTCCTCATTAGGCCAGAATCGAGAGTTAAGCCTGATTTCCCCTTTCTTCCGATCCGAATTTTCTTACATTGATTGTTATACATTTGAATGGAAAAGTAAATCATTTTCACAGTTTTAAACAACAGCAGCAAAACGCTTGCACGATTATCAGCTGATTTCTAACTTCTCAGGTTAAACTCTTACGCTATTATTACAGATGGGCAGGAGCCGAAGAAATACAATATGGAGTAATGGCAACGGTTTAATATGTACACGCTGCAGCGTTAAAATAAGCTTTCGAGAGTCCCGATATTATGCAGAACTTATCGCGAAACTCCAATGCGCTGGATTACGGCCTCCTTGCTTTGCCAGGTTATGCTGAAAAATTCACTCCGACCAACAGTTTAACTGGCGTCAAAAATGCTTCTCATATTAAAATGTTTCACAATAACGAGAGCGCCTCCAAATTGATCCGCGAAAAAATGCGTCAGAAACTTCGATAAGTCCTTGGAATTAAGGAGAAACTTTGCGATAGTTTGGTAAGATTAATCGTCGTATCTATAGCATTCGATGCTCAAATTGTAATAATTGAATGGTAATAATAATCCCTATTCGATGCTGTGAGCCCTCGTGTATCGGGGCTTAGTCGACTTGTGTGTGACGATTTTTTATTCTCATAGAAGCGAAAATGAATCGTAAAAATTTACTAAATAAATAAGAAATAAATCAAGATTGACTGTAAGATTGATTTAAAGTCACATCAAAAAATTTGGAAGTACATCCTTACGGCAGTCTGGGAGAAATAGAATTAAGAGATTGCAGAGGTAAGATTGCTCAGTGCCGATAAATCTGGCCCAAGAATAACCTATTGTACTGAAATATTTATATACAATAGATTCAATAAGTTCAAAATTATCTGATTTTTGGTTCTATACTCACGGTAGTCTGGAAGGAACAGAAGAGATGGCAGAGGTACGGGTGTTTGGTGCCGAGCGTTAAAACCTTCCTCTCTATTAGAGTGCATTCGACGTCGTTGTCTTCCAGCACTACGTCTTTTTTCAGGCACTTTACAGCGAAATAGTTCTCGGTGCCAACTTGCTGAGCCAGCATAACCTAGAGAAATAGAAATTTATATTTATCGTTTGTAGTTTTTATTTGATTATTAGCGCATTTTCTCATTTATGGAAAAATACACTATTGTGCTCGCCATGTCCGTCTGTCTGTCTGTCTGTCTGTCCGTCTGTCCGTCCGTCCGTGACCTCAAGTTTTCGTCGACGAGAAAATGCGTTCTCTATCACGCACTGCAGTGAGTACTGAGTTATATTATTTTTTTGGAATCCCCCAATTAAATTTGTTTACTTTCGTTTATTCTACGTCGATTATTGCTGTCGTAATATCTCTCTTTAAAAAATAGTTCAAAAATGAAATCTACAATGAAAATTTCTATGATTTTACATGAAACCCAAAACATAGGTCCAGATAATTCAATGGAAATGAAATTGTTTCGCTTTGTTAAATAAACGATTCAACATGAAATCAAACATAAACATCGTTTGGCATGTTACTTGAAATAAGAAATAATGCTTTATTTGTTAGAAATACGTCATTTTTATGTCATTTTTCAAATCTATTGACTTCGTTTATGTACCAACAAAGCTCTGGGATTTGGGAATTAACGGGTCTTGGGAAAGATCAAATGATGTAGGAATTGAATAAAACTTATTTGGTGAATTTTTGTTCTGATAGAATGTTAGGTTAATTGATTAATGTGAAACATGAAAGGGTGAGCAGACAAAATTTAATTTTTCTGTTCTGAAGTAATAATTTCTAAGCTATGATATTCCAGTCAAAAATATTCCCACCCCTTTTGAAGTTTCATTATTTTGAACTTGTTAAGTCTTTATTTCTTCGTTAATATTGGACTGAACTTCAATTTTAATTAGCATAAATTTGGTGAAGATAATCTCTATTCAAAGAAACCTTAAATTGATTATTGTTGAATAACTCAATCAACTTCTTAGGACCAGACTAATTTATATACCAAATATGTTTCCAATAATACGTTCACGTATACTTATTCACATGAACTCAACCTCCAACTCTTTATTTCCTTCTCCGTCTTTAGCGCACAACACTAATTTAATATCGCAATTATTTATATTGAAACCAGAATATTTGGGAAAACACATTTGAATATGCTTCTGGTGCAAGAGACTCGTCATTTTAGTTGATCTTATACTCATGAAATTTAATAAATTCAGGTAATACTCAGAAAGTTATCTCCTGAATTCACTTCATTGATTATGGCACTGGAATCATCATTCACATAAATGAATTTCTTTAAGTTATTCATCATCCTTTCTTTAAATTAGCCATCCCTTCAGAATTTCATGGAGCCGCCAATCCGTGTTATTTTCTCATCAGATTCCCCTTCGTTGTACACCAACTTCACCGCACGAAACTTTACATGAAATTGTCTATGACTCAATAAAGTGAAGAAGGCATCTCTGGAGGATCACAAGCCCGAGGCTTCGCCCTCACAAACGTTTGTTTTGAGATACGCGGCAAGAGTTCAGACGGGACTGTCGTTGGTCGAGGCAGCTTTTCGAATTGAAGCTCGAAAGTTAGATAATTTGCTAGAGGGAGAAAGAGGCAAGCATGCGACAGCCTCGATAGTCTAGAGCCGTAGATCTTAAAGAGTTTGCTCTTCTGCAGAAGCCCTCAAATGCCTTAGGAATCGTAATGTGGCTGATGCAGTCAATGTGGCGACTCTCTGCAGTCAGTATAAACCAAAGGCTGACTTCAAGTCGTTTCTATGCAGAGACAAAACCAGGTTCTTCTTGTTAGATAACTAAGATCAAACAGGCCATCATTTGCTCAATATAATGTTAATTCCATCCGCATTTTATCGCATTCCCGATTGCTTTCCACTTATTTTAATATCAAAATTATGCTTTTTATAATACCAATACTAAAGATCCTTCTCCGTCTTCCGGAAACTTCCAATTCACGTATTTATCATATGATGCTAGCTTTTCGAATTAAATTGTTTTATTCTCCCACAGACCGCTCAAAACCACTCCCCGAATTTCACAGACTACCCACTCACACTATTTCTCCTTCAAATTTTCAGTCATTTTTTTAATTTCCACATTCTTGTTCTCTCGCATTTTTTGGTGTAAACAACAATGCCCTCCCCGTCACCACAGCGTCTACGACACACACGCTCCTCCGCTTCCACTAAAGGCAGATAACAAGCCCAGTTTTGTCGAGGCCCGCCTTTGAATAGCGTTATTAGTTGTGTTGTAAAGCGCGCCTTCCTTAGCTTATTGCAAAAGTAGCTGCGCGCAGCTCCTCAAACTTGCTTTGTCATAGCTAATTGGACTTCTATTAAGGGTGTTTATAGTCTTCAACATTCATCACAAAGGGTAGCTATGTAAGTCTTTACCTAATATTTCTGCGTCCCCTTGGAACTCGGCGAATTTTGCCGCTAACATAAGCGGTGACGAGCGTAATTTGAAGATTGATGGTCGAGACAGGGACTAGAAACTTTTCCCATGTCAGAAGACGAGGGAAAACGTGAGCAAGAACAGGAGTGATAACCGTAGATAATTTAGTTGGTAAAATTAGTACTTATACGTGGAGACGTGTTTCCCAATATTGTCAATAGATAGATAATAGTAATGAAGTCCATATTCTGGTCCGGTGATAATTCACCATCAAAATACTCATGCTTTCAAACTAAATTGCACTTTCAGGCTTTGCTTTTTGGTAATATTGAGTAGGCAAAGAAAACTGACAGTGCTGGAATATGGTAACGAGCACATATACCGCCGAAATTAATTAAAATTTTATTGTAATTCACAAATGACTTGGTAAATGTATGTTGCAGCTATTGATGCCCAGTACTAAAATTGATTTCGCTACCTCCCACTGCTCTGGTCATTTGATATTCACATTTATTTATTTTTCCTAACCGGAATTATATTGTATTGAAATATTACTCACTTTACCGAAGCTTCCCTTGCCGAGGACTTTGATAAAGCGGAAGTCATCAACACAATATTTTTTAAACTTGGGCCGCGTCTTGAGCGGAGATCTTATCTCCGCAGGGCCGCTAAAGTCGCTGTCCGTTTCCGTCGTCGAGCCTTCGTCGTCATCGTCTGACGTTGTTGTGGTTGTTGTCGTTGACGAAGATGACAGCGCTGGTCTACCTTCGCGGCTCTCGCTTGTGCTTCCTGCGTTCAGAACAGGAAACTTAATCGAAATTCACTTAATTTGAGAAGTGCATCATAGAGGAAGTGATCAAACAGAAGAAGTGCATCAAACAAGGAATTATACTTCTACATTCTATTTCTACTTCGTCATTCTACTTCCCCATCTCCATTCTATTTCTACTTCTCCATTATACTTCTACATTCTACTTTTACATTCTACTTCTACACTCTACTTCTACACTCTACTTCTACACTCTACTTCTACACTCTACTTCTACAATCTACTTCTACACTGTACTTCTACACTGTACTTCTACACTGTACTTCTACACTCTACATTCTACTTCTACATTCTACTTCTACATTCTACTTCTACATTCTACTTCTACATTCTACTTCTACATTCTACTTCTACATTCTACTTCTACATTCTACTTCCACATTCTACTTCTACATTCTACTTCTACATTCTACTTCTACATTCTACTTCTACATTCTACTTCTACGTTCTACTTCTACATTCTACTTCTACATTCTACTTCTACATTCTACTTCTACATTCTACTTCTACATTCTACTTCTACATTCTACTTCTACATTCTACATTCTAAATAACTATGCACTTCTGGAAGTTCAATGGATGGCAGCAGCGTCAGATAACATGGGGAAAATAGGTTTCTCTATACATCTAAGAGAACTTCTTGTGTCGCGTTTCCAACACGATAGCGCGAGTAAGTTTTAATACAATTAACTATTCTGCAAATGTCACTGACACCTTATGGGTTTTTTTCGTGCTGAGAGTGTTCTCGCTGACACTCCTAAACCGATTGGCTAAGTCAAGAATGTGCAAAAGCTTGTAAATCCCTAATTATTTTTACACAATCATTGTTAAAATAAATATTTTATAATATAATTTCAAAGAATATTCTATTCATTATTGTCTATGCAGATACAATTTTCCAAAATGAGGAATGACACCCTGGTTCCTAAGTACAGATGGTATTTTCAGAACTATTTTCGAGTTTCGTAGCCACTCTGGGAGCGCGTGTAATTGCATTGTAGCGCGGTGCATCGGAAAGCTAGGCTCTGTAGGGCTGTCCGTTGTGTTGACGACTCCATAATGGGCTAAGTTGGAATGACTTTGAAGCCATTACGACACTGAATTAACTCAAGTCTTTTACATCATTGCCGAAAAATTCACCTAGAGAATTGCAACTGTTCATAAAAATATAAACAAAAATATTGCTGTAGGATTGCTGTTGTGAATGTTCATTAAAAGAACCAAGAATAAAGATTTTACTTTTGTGCTGCAGGATTTTAGGGCCGCAGAAATTTATGCAAAATTTCGAAAAGTGGAAGTGGACTATTAGTGGCGCAGGATTATTTTATACGTGATTGTTGATGCAAACCATTCCTAAAAATACTAGTAATAGAGAAGAAGGATTGGTTGTGCAGGATTTTTGGTATAAACCTTTCTAAAAATACGAAGAAATATGATGGGGGATTGATGATTCAAGATTGTTTGTGCAAAACTTCTCTAAAAGTACGAGCAATAGACTTAGGGGATTGATAGTGCCAAATTTTTGGGGCAAATAACCTTTCTTAGAAACACATTTGGTAAGCATGGGGGTTGGTGGTGCAGGATTATTGCTGTGAATATTTATCAAAAACATAATAGGTGGAGATAAAGGGTTTGTTGCGCTGCACTGTTGCTACAAACGGTCGCGAACAATTAATTTATATGTCAATTGAGTTATTTGCTAGAATTAATAACAAACAAAAATATTTGGGAAGGATTGTGATATAATCGCTTATACGTACCTGTTATGCAAAAATGGAGACAGGATTCTTAGTGCAAACGTTTCTAAAGAAAAAACAAGATATCAACCGTGCCAAAAAAAACAACAAAATCATAAAGATTTTTATCTCTTTTTGTCCCTGCATGTGTATTTGATACACGAAATGAAGCTGGATTCTACATCAAATCTAGATTCGAATAGTTGATTCAATCTAAACAGGTAAAAACATATCATAATCATAAAGCCATCCATACGCGCTAAAAAGTATACAGAGAGCGTTGTGTGAGTGTTCGCTCTCATGAAACAGCCTAGCATGAAAATAATGGCCCACGCGTGAAAAAGATGAGCCTGTAAAGACTGATTCTTAAGAAAAAATTCAGTAGACCTTCTATTAAAAAATGCATAGTACTGTAAAAATTCTTCATAACAAATCAACTGGGATAAATTTATTCCTCTCTGACGTAACGTTCCATTTCAATTGACAATTTTTCAGCGACCCAATCAGTAATTTTCACTTACTTTGTAAATTCATTATTTATTTATTATTCATTAATTATTTGTATGAAATTCATTTATACCTAACAATAGTACGTAAATTTGTGGATAGCAATCATGGATGGCTAGAAAGTAAAATTGATTTTATTTCTCTCCTAAAAAGAGAATAATCACGTCTGCCATTGCAAGTCCCATGGTGATGAACACACTTTCTCGTATCCAGGCTACCAAATCCGTTGATAATGAACACGCTTACTATTGTCAAGGCTACCATGTCTGATGGTAATGAACACACTTACTCTTGCCAAGGCTACCATGTCTGATGGTAATGAATACACTTTCTCGTATCCAGGCTACCATAGCCGATGGTAATGAACACACTTTCTCGTATCTAGGCTACCATATCCGATGTTAATGAACACACTTACTATTGTCAAGGCTACCATGTCCCAATGGTAATTAACACACTAATTCGTGTCAAAGCTACCATGTGCAATGGTAATGAGCACACTCGTATCAAGACCACCATGTCAATGTTAGTGCATGAATTTTCTCGTGTATGTGATAACTAATGGACATTAAATCACCTCATTATGTGTACCAATGTCAAAAATTTACTAAAGAATACTCGAGAGACAAAAATAGTTAGCCATGTGAGATTTGTGAAATATTGTCGTCAATTACGAGGCGATTATTGCAATTTCTATCACAACTCTGTTGTTATATACAAGGCATATTTGTGATTTAAGTAGAGCTATCCCTGTCAGCATGACAGAAATACATTGTTGCTACTGTCATACGGCCAACTGTCACGATCATGATTGACCGGTCAGACGCAATGTTCTGTCCACATGTCTCTGTTAACAAGATAAACGAGCCAATTAAATGCGAGATCTCTGTTGTGAAAATCACTATTTGATTTAATTCTCTTACCAGTGAATAGTGATGTTTCTCTGAATACCGAATTTTGTTATATAATAACAAAATTCTGAAAATTCAATGACAATTTGCACAAATGTTTGAGATCTTTTCATAGTCGTAGAAGCTATCTAAACTCTCAGGAATCAAGATTTATTAGCGATTAAAAACTGCATAATCTGTCTCGCCTCTCTGGAGACGAAAAAATATAAAATATAATAATATTGAAAACTAGACTCGTCACTGACCTAAGTATAGAAATAATTATTCGTAATGAAAATACTTGTGAAATTATTTGTGTGAAATTATATCTGTGTAATTATTTCTGCCAATCTATTTAAGTGGAATTATTTCTGTGAAATTTTTTATGAAATTATTTCTGTGAAATTATTTTTATGAAATTACTTCTGTTAAATTATTCTGTGAAATTATTTCTATGAAATTATTTCTGTGAAATTATTTACATGAAAATATTTCTTTCATTCATATGCAAATAACTAAAGAAAACATTGTTATTAGCAGTAAATTGCTAGGTTCATTGTAATAAATTACCTTTTTTCACCGAAGAGAGAGCTTCAGCTAGGAGCTTCTGGTTCACACCGCAGAGGTTGGGTATTTGCTTCTCGCATTTTCGGTGACAGTTTGTTCCGCACACTGGAAAATAAGTAAAATATTTTTGGTAACAAACTTCAGTGGAAGCATTAAAAACATACATGACACGTTTTATTTATCAAACGTTAGTTATATGGTGCAGCATCTCCAAAATTTAATTATCGTCGTATCGTTTCATACTGATCTCACGTTCATAATTAATTGCCGCGCTAACATCATTCTGATTATTTACTGTCATCAAAATTTTACTTTAATTAATAATGCAGAAAATTACTGTTCAAGCACTGATTATAATAAAACCAATACACCAATTCAAGTACGTCATTCCACGCTGTAAGAGCTTGAGCCCAATAAAGCCCGTCTAGGTATATCTAACCCGCCGACTCTAAATTAGTATTCATACTGCGGCGTGAGAGAGAACGCCATTCGACTCCTCATAACCTAACCATTATCACTCTGTCCCATTTTACGAGGCTGACGCAAAAAATACGAGCCTAATGGGAAGATGTGCGACCAGGTTCATTTGGTATGCCCGGTTCATATGAGCCGTCGTGCAGATACCAACTGATTTACCAACCATGCAGTCACTAATGCATACCAATCGAGGCGTCCTTGCAGTTGCCTGCTGATGATCGCATCGTTTCGAGCATAAATGGCTTATGATTTATCTCTTAGTTGTCCATAATTGAACCGGAAGCACTTTAGTAATTAACGAGGACCAATATTGCACGTACAGTTGAAACGTTGTTTGACATCATTGCTGATTCGGTTAACACCGTGCGACGTTTTTTGCAAAATATTCCTATAGACGTGTATATTAAAAGAATTAATTTTGATTTTCAAAAAGATTTTGATTCGAGCCATCCATGTATTGGTTGAATTTTCTTCTGCCCCAGGGGTAACATGACATAAGATAAGAAATGCTTTATGCTCGTTGCCAAGCAATCAGTTTTTTAGGCCACATATTTTTTTTCAGCCCGTGATATTTATGTCAATCATAAATTTAATAAAAATGATACTATGTATTGCATCGCTTAAATTTCTATAAAATTCCTGAAGTTATAACCAAGTTTCAGTTACAAATGTTTCCGCAAACTCTACAATACATAGCTCAAATTTAAGTTGACTATCGAATTTATTTTTCATTGCTCAGAAGTAACCCTTAAATTCGTGCTCTGGATACAAATTATTTCAAGAAAGAAGGAAATAATTTTGAAATTTTAAAACAATTCACTTCGCAATATCTGCTCTGGTGTTTATAATACGATTCACAAAATTCATAGACCAGATCTTAAGGTAAGGAATTTCTTCAGCGAGTGCAAGCGAAATCAGAGCGTGAAGGCAGCGTCGGCGGCTATCGTTGCTGCAACTTCCATTATTCAGAAAATTACCATTGCCATTCAGGCACTTCGTATCCGAGGGAGCTAAAGTGAGGCTTGCAACCTGAGAATCTTCACGAGTTACCCCAAACTCGCGATTGGGTGGTTAATGGTGTCCTAATATCCTGCAATCCAAGTCACTTGCAACGCTCTCGAACAAAGCGCATGTCACTGATTTATCGACTGAAATATAACGGACATTACCAGGCTGTGTTCGTATGCCATTCTTCTTGGCTTCCTTTGTGAACTATGACACAAGCATTTTTCTCTCTTCTCAAGCGCCGGCCGCGAGGAACAATGTTTACTTTAGTTATGATTCTGCATTTCTGATTATAACAATTAATAGTAATGATAGAGGAGAGTAGCAGCTTCATGGCAAAGAATATGCATTAAAGTACCCGTAATTATTTCGGGTTAATAATCCTATATATCTCACAATATTAGGTTAGGTGTAACTGAGAATATTATTGTGTCAATTTCAAGTGGTTATTTGGGAAAAAATACTAATTTATGGTCATATTTACATGGTGATTTGTATAATAATGAAGAAGATCATGATTCACTTATTTCAGACGAAATGAAATTAATCAAATTAATTAACAAATCGAACGAGTAAATCTATACGTAATCAAATATTTTAGATGAGAAAATATTCAGCTTCTACCAAATATTGCTTGCCCAACTCAAACCTTTGAAGCCAGCTTGAATCAATCAAAGTTTAAGCTTCGGCACTGGCGAAGCACTGATAATATACGCTGATTTTAAGAACACCGTAAATTTAATAAGTAATTTCATGATGGACGTAGAGCGTGAGCTGTGTGACTTATAATTACCTGAGAAGCGTAACGGTCTTGAGGTATGGAGGCGAGATTATTTTATTATCGCTTATTGAATAGAGACAACTATAGGTTTAATAAAGAAAACTTTTTAATTGGCTGTGGCTTTAAGAGTGCCTTGATTGAATAATTAAAAATACTTTACTTAAATCTCATGATCCCAGCAACAGATTAATTTTGATTATATATAGATATTGTATCCGCGTTTTTCTTACTATTAGACAGTAATTACTATTTTGTAACCCCCAATTCAAAATTTATTTTGATTCGCAAAACTTTCTAGCAATGGTTAATAAATTTTATATCGTTTATACATTAAATTAGCACTTTGTGCACGAAAATAATTTTTTGCAAAAAAAAAATAATTAAAATCAGCACGAATATATCATCAATCAACCAGTTCGATTAATCCGCGCACAGATGATAACATGTTACGTAGAATCATTCCTACCTGATGTGTGAAATTATTCCCACAATAAATGACTCATTGCACCAACAGCGATACACTTTTGCTACTGAAACTCGTTTTGGGCTTGCATCCTGACCCATTCTGGCCTAGCAAAAGGACGTATATATCAGTGATACGTGCAGAAAGTGTATCACGATTTGTTCAATGTGACCATTCATATTTCCTGAGTGTAAAGTTCATGTATGAAACGGCACATTCCTGAAATAGCCTCAGGCACGCGGCCTGTAGCTGGGCTTATATTGAGCGCCTTGCGGCTGTACACTCAGAAAAATTGATGAGTCTAGTTGTCCAAATAGTGACGCTCTTTATATAGGTAACAGTGATACACCCTCACGGCCGTGCAATACAGAGAGCAAGAGATAGCCCACACAAGAGCAAAAAGTGCGTCATTATTTGGACAAAGTCTCTCCATTTGTCTGAGTGTAGAGGCGCAGGTGCGCGCTAGTAAATGAACTGAGTTTATTTCTGCCTCTTTCAGCCTTTATTTTATCGTCGTTCCTAAGAAAATATTTCGTTCGAGTGGTGCGTAAAGAGACTGATGAGTGAGACAGTTGATGTACGTCTTTTTTCTACGATAGTTATGAAATTATTTTAACACCTTTAAACCTTTCGTTTAAGTGGCAGTAAATAGCCAATTTATATTAATTATGGATTAATAGACACAGGCTTTATCTTTTATTATTTTAGTAATACATGAAATTTGTCGGTGAAAAGTGAAGAATTTAAATTTATTATTGGTTGCAGAAAAAATCTTTTATATTTGTTCATGTTATTGCCGTGTAAACTTTGACGTCTTAAATTAGACGAATATGATTTACCATTTTTCGCATGAACTGATAGTTTATTACCCTATTTTTAAGGGGCCAATGATATACACGAGGCAAGCAAAAGGTTACTTAGTTATTTGTTTGTTAGCTTAATTCTGTAAGGAATATCATTGAAAAATTAATCTTGCATAGGTACTACGTAAATATAAGTCTTTATTTTATGTCACTCGAAATATTTCAAATTCAGCGAAATTATGTTTTCTTTCAATAACAAAGTATTTCTTGAAAAAAAGAAAACTTGTTTATGGACATCAATTAATTTTAGATTATAAGCGAAATATATTATTGATAGGCAAATATGTGAAAACGATGATGGAATAATATAATGAAAAAAGTAACACGATCTGATAGAATAAATTTCCCGTAAACATTGCAATGTCGTTCAGTGAACTACAAGGTTTTAGCATGGAGTTGTAAGTTCATGTAGACGATACGTGAACATTCTTACCGGGGAATGGGTATAATTTTCTTTAATCAACACTTAGAAAAATTAATGGGACATATTGTAAAAATAAACACTATTCCCACCCAGAGCACGAGCTGATTCCACCTTATGCCAGGGCAATCTGGGTAAGTAAGACCAGCACGAGGTCAACAAATATAACTCAGTACTCACTGCAGTGAGTGACGGAGCGCATTTTCTCAAAATCGACGAAAACGTGAAGTCACGGACAGACAGACAGACAGACGGACGGACAGACATGACGAGCACAATAGTGCCTTTTTCATAAATGAGAAAATGCGCTAAAAATGCATCGCAATTTGACAAATTCTCGCTCATTCCTATGCATGAACTAACTTGCGCCATGATATGTTATCCAAGAATCTGGTGACATAATCTATTCTGATATCAAAGCAGCTATCTCGAGATGATGAGTTCTACCTAAAACATCACTAGCAGGTCTAGACTCATCACTAAGATCATCTTTCTTGACAAATTCTCGCTCATTCCTGTGAATGAACCAACTCGGGTCATTATGCTATCCAAGAATCTGGTGACATAATCTATTCTGATATCAATGCAGCTATCTCTTGATGATGAGTTCTAACTAAAACATTAATAGCAGGTCTAGGCTCATCTTTTTGCCAAATTTTCGCTCATTCCTGTGCATGAACTAACTTGCGCCATGATATGTTGTCCAAGAATCTGGTGCCATAATCTATTCTGATATCAATGCAGCTATCTCGAGATGATGAGATTTAACTAAAACATTAATAGCAGGTCAAGACTCATCACTAGGCTCATATTTTACCACTCATTCTTCACTAAGTTAATGGCAGTAAAATTATCACTGATCGTTCTTATGTACTTGGCTGGCTCTTGGCACAAGGCCTGATTTCTTGGCATCTACGACCGTGGATGCATTTCCTCTACACCTTCACTTGTTTTCTTGTCATACTTTAATGTACTTGTTGATTATGTGTTGCTTCTAATGGATTCTTTGTGCATAGACATTCAAACCCTAATAACGTTTACAGTTTGGGAATAACTCAGCTTTTTTATCTAATTTTATTTGAATATCTTCGTCTCCCCAAGTTGCAGAATTGCTCCTAATGCTTTTATTTCCTTTCCAGATAAAGCGGTCAATAAATATACCTTTTTCGAGATTAGGCTTAAAGAATTAATCCTGAGATTTTTTATTCAATTTGTCGCTGCTGTCGCAATAAACCGCAACTACCGTATAATTTTTATTGCTTATTTAAGAGCATCTATACGTTTTATGTTAATCACAGCATTCGCCCAGAGCATCTATATATTTATGTTAATTCGTTTTGTTTACAAACGATTGCTTGGGACAAAATATGCACCCGCTTCAAGCAAAGCACCAAGGTTCAGCAAGGTTCAAACACGGAACTCAAGGAACTTTTAAGGGTCATATTTGCAGGTGGTTTTCCCTGGGCTATTTCAGACCACATGACCGAGCTGCCAAGAGGGCTGTGATTCACACGCCTCGTGTCGTCCTGTCACTGGGACAATTCGGGCCAGCCGTCCGGGGCCCATACTTTCAAAAAAAGTTAAGAGATCGTAAGTTCATCAGCCAATCACTGATAGCCTTTCAAGCAAAATCCACCAATCATAGACAAGAAAATAGAGCGTAAGTACTTACGTTCACTTAGCGAGTTTTGAAAGTATGGCCCCGGATTTGTATTGTTCGTCTTGTTAATAGTTATGAACTGCGGGCCAAATCCCGCTACATGATTGACGTGTTGCGGTATTCAGTATGACTGCTGAAATATTAATTGCAGAATCCGAAAATAATAACGTAAAGATTTTCTATCTGTCATCAGCAAATCGAAATTTGTCAATTAATTTTTTTTCTATTCGAAAAATACAATTCTTATTACATTTCAAACGGTTGAATACTTCTGTGTCATATATATGTGCCAATACAAATTTAAAACATTATAACCTAATGTAGGTTTAATACGTGCTGTGTTATTTTAACGCATTCGCCCTAGATCCTACATTATGTTATGTTAGTATCATTATGTTAATATTATTATGTAATTATTATTATATTATTTTATTACGTTATTATTATTATGTTGTTATGAATCTCATAACATTAGTTATTGGATTCGATCATTTGCTTAAAGTCGAAATCAAGACATTACTACATCAAGTTTATTCAAAGTTTTTTCATCATTTCTTCACTGTTTGGAACACATACGCTCTAAATCGTAATCTGATGCATTATTAACTTTTTCTTGCTGACCTATGAAATTACACGAGATAATGCTGTCGCTTTTTAGCGCATTTTCTCATTTATGAAAAAAATGCACTATTGTGCTCGCCAAGTCCGTCTGTCCCTCCGTCTGTCTGTCCGTCCGTCCGTGAGTTCACGCTTCCGTAGACGAGAAAATGCGCTCTCTGTCACTCACGGCGGTGAGTACTGAGTTATATTTTTTATATCTGCCTCCAGATCCATTTAAAATAATTTATTATGATTTAAAAAAAACTCCATAGTTAAAGACGTTGGTCCAGAAAACCCGCACAACTTTTTCTTGTTGACCTATAAAATTGCACGGGATAATGCTGTCTCTTTTTTATATCTACCACCAGATCCATTTAAAATAATTTATTATGATTTAAAAACTCCATAGTTAAAGACGTTGGTCCAGAAAACCTGCACAACTGGCTGGCAACGTGAAGCTCCGCCAGCTAAAGCTTCCCGCAACTTTTTTATGCTGATTTTTTGCGGTTCTCGCCTCGAACTCTTTGGAAGGCACTTACTTAGAAAGGAAAGCAAATGCATCCGTAAATTTGTTTTTAGCAATTCCAGTATGAGCTTTGAAAATGTTTTGGGCGGGACCAAGCCCGGTTGAAAATCGCCCGCAGTTTTCAGAGCGGTAATTTATCTTCAAAATTAATGGAACTTTCCAGTTCGAGGCTCGTAGAGAATTTTTTCCTTTAAGCTCACACGGAGCCTTGATTGGTCTGTCTCTAATAATGGACTCATGGTAAACGAACATAAACCTTTAAACATGACATCGTTTTTGTACAAAATGAAGTTCCAGACGATATCTGGAACTATATTTATTCGTTGAAAAGCCTAAACATCGCCAACTTCACAGAACATGAACATTAAAATAATACATTGAATGAGTCCTTGGTTAGCTTGAAGTCCCGTATTTTGTTCAGTAGAGACTCTGAAGTTCGATATTTTGTTCAGTAGATACTCTGAAGTTCCATATTTTGTTCAGTAGAGACTCTGAAACATTAATTTGCGCGCCTAGAGCTTGCCGTGCGCGGACGCAGCGAAAGCCGGCCTCTGAGCTTGTCTGCGGCTGCTATGGAAATTTCCTTAAATTGGGTTATCTGCGCGCGCCTAAAGAATGGAAAATGTCAGACAAAAACGAGGTAAGAGTGCTCGGATGGCGAGAAAATTAGAGAGCTTCGATAGACCGACATAACACAGCGACCGCCTCTTAGGTTCATGAAAAATCGCGACATGGAAATTCATGGTCGTTTTTTATTGAATTTGCATGCGTTTTGAAGAGACTAATGATAAACTATGACATTGTAACATGGAAATAATAGAATGAATCAATTATGGAATAGATTAATGACGGAGTAAAATTTGTAATATGTTATTTGGGAACATGATAATTCATTTTTAGTTAATAGATTACAAAAAACTGCAACTTCGATCAATACACGATTTTTTTTTCATTTCTATTATTTCAGCAAAAGAGTTCATAGTTTTTAGTAAATTGAGCTAAAAGACATTTGCCTTATCAAGTTATTGTTAAAAATAACGTAATTATTCACAACTACTGAGTTAATAAGAGTTATCTGAGATGGACCTTATGTAAAGTATTAGCAAGGCTCATAGTTTAGTGACTGTTGACACGATTTGGTCGTAACAACTCCACCAACTGGGACAGATATGAGACTAGACATGCCAATTTTCGGTTAGTAATGCAGACGTGAATTATGAAAAATTTGTGTTTTCCAATTGAGCTAAAAACATCATTATACAGGACAGGATTACTGAATCAAATCGCAAGTATGGCTCTACTGCAGGATAAAAGATTCTTACGGAATGTCAGGAGAGGACGCAATAACTGGAAAGGTAATTTTTTGCCAAAAACGCTTACCGTTGCAAACACCTTCCTCGTTGTTTAATTTGGTAGAGGAAGATCCCGTATTTTTTAAAACTGCCTCGGAACGCAGCCCGAGCTCTCGTTGTAATGCTGTGTTAGGCTGAGGAGTGCTCGGGCTTGAACCATAAGCTGAGTCGGCAGATTTTGAAGCGCAAAGTCCAATTAGATTCTCAGGCTGAGTTCCTTCAGTAACTGTTGAAGAGAAATTTGGACTTCCAGAAATGGAAGTCGAAGCAGCAGAAATGCGCGGACTTTTTAGTTTGAGGCCACTTTGCTCCTGCTCTTGAGGCGCTTGGCTGGAGGTGCGGTCGCTCGACTTAGTGGAGGGATCTTTGTTACTTTTATTGTTACTATCTGGTAAAACTTTTTTTTTAGTATTTGGAGACAATGGTGGGGACTTTGATGCTGATTTTTTCTTGCGGTGATATGCGGGTCTAGCATTTTTTAAATCGTCATCCTCCGATTCACTCTGATTTTCCTTCTGCGGAGCTTGACAAGCCACTGGTCTTTTCCAAACCTTCTTTGGCTTACCAGGCAAGGCGGCGCCGTCGGTATTGGCTTTATTGGCAGGAATGGCAGACTGTTGAGCTTCGGAGGCACTAATTTTCTTCTGATCGAGACCTATGCCTAATTTCCCGGGTCTTTTCAAAACATTCCTAACTTCCCGAAGCTGGTCGACGGGTGGGGGCTTGGGATCCAATACCGGTATTTTCCAGACTTTTCTCAAAGTCGGTTCAGTAACTTTGTTGGCCTCAAGTTTATTTTTCTCATTGCCTCCTCCCTTATCAACCGGCCGTTTTTTGAGTACGTTTCGCGCGTTGTGGATTTCATTGTCAACTTTCTTTCCGTTGGATATTGGTAGAGGATGCACCTTCTTTTCATTTTTATCATTGAAAATTGAGGATTTATCTTCTTCCTGTCCACCAGTTAATCTATTATCAGTTTTTGTTTGGCAAAGCTCACTTCTCCCGATTATTGTGTCACTTTCTTTAGCGAAAGTATCAGAAATTTGGGTACAACCACAAGTCGATGGTGATATTTTTATTTTTTCATTTCCATTTGTTGAGGTCAATTTTCTTCCCAAATTTATCTTTCCTGATGATTTTTCATTTACATCTCCTACACCTAATGCTTCCCTATAAGCACTTTTCTGCTCTTCACTCAATTTGTTGCGTTTCGTGTCGTTTAGCATTACATTATTCGATGATGGAGAGCTAAGTACCCTAGAATTATCATCTTCATTAGATGAATTTTTTTCTTTTGAAACATCAGGTAGATCAGTATCATCAGTCCGGACGTTGAGAAATTTTTTATCGTGGGCAATTCCTTTCGATATTTTATTTGGGTCCACGCTTGGAGGACTCTTGTTATTCCTCGCAGGTTCTGCCGCAGAAACTTTGTCGGAACTCATTTGAGCTTTTTTCTCGAATAATTGCAGAGACCTTCCATCTTCATTACTGTCTTTAACTTTGGTAATTCGATTATTATTGGTTCCAATCCCTTTTTGCAAGAGATTTTTTATATTCGCGGCATCATTTCCAAATTTGATCAAAGGCCTCGGAGATTTCTTATTAGCTTCCGGCCGTAATGCTTCAGATGAGGCGTTCGCATTTGAAGAGTTTTTGTGACCCACCCATGCCGTGTCCAAATTAGAGCGCCTGTCGTCGAAGTTTATTTCTTCATCTCCTTTTTCTGCTCGTGTACAACTGGAAGATTTTTTCATTGCTTGCACAATTTCCGAAGTCGAGACTGAGTCCTGTAGGCACGCAATTGATTCACTCTCCGGAGTGACTACATCCCCTTTCCAAGATTGAACTTTTTTGGTTGTGTCATCAACAAAGCTTGAAGCCCTATTAAGATCGCCGTCCTGAATTAAACTAACGTATCTGATTTCGTTCACGTTCCAAAATTCTCTAGACTGAGCGCTCGATTTTTGGTTCAAGGTGGATTTTTCGGAATCTAAACTAATGGATATTTTCCCCGTGACTTTGTTTAAATCCAAAGCAGCATTACCACACTGGAACTCTACTCTATTTACTCTGTCAACAGGATTATCAAGGGCAAAAGATGAAGTAGATTTAGATAAATCATACAAATTAAGGGAAGGATTGTCAGAGGATGAAACGGAACTAAGGATATTAGCTGAAGTTTTAGATTTGTTGATGTACGGTGACCTTTTCTTCCTCCATGGCGCATCTTCAAGGCAAGTGTTTGATTTTTCATCCTTTGTTTGCAATGCAAGGGTTAAACTTCCAACAATGGCCGTTGGTCCATTAACACTGCTACTGCAACTGCTTCCGTAGGATTCTGAAGATAAACTATTACGCCCACTTTCATAACTACTTTTGCATTCAGAGTCATCTTTGTTCTTGCAAATGTTATCGCAGACGGCAATGCTCATTTTTATCTTTTCCATACCCTTCATCAGAGCGAGCTGAGGTGTTGGGCTTTTCTTGCAAAGGCGTTCCTGCTCCCGAGTGTCGTCTGAAGACGACAATAGATCACACGCCTTTTCTTGGCATTTCTCATTATTCTTTTCACACGGCGCAGAAATTTGTTCATCAGAATTCTGGATGAACGATATTTTGTTCGCTTCAAAATCCTTAACACCATGTAGCTTTACAGTTATAACATCGCCTCGACTAGTGTCTTTCTTGGGGCCGGTCTTAGACAGCCTTTTTACACTCGCTTTCTTGATCGATACTTGCTGCTTGACAAAGCGTCTAAGCTTGTCAACGATGATTGATCCGTCATTGAGACTCATATCCCCGCTAGCTCGACGCTTAGCAACGATAGATTCCATCGGGTTCACGGTGCGTCCTGATATTTTCTTGCTGTCAGTATCTTCGCAGATCGTCGGGGTATTGGGAAAACTTTCGCCGCTATCCGCATCTATGAGTTGCTTAATTTCTTCGTCGGACTCGATGTCAACATCTGGGTGTAGTGATGCTGCTACTATCATGTCTTTTACGTCTTGTGCGCTGGCGAGTTCTGTTTCTTCGACTGACTTGTCGGTGGCAGCACAAAAAACAACTCCGTCGTCCAGTTCTGTTCCTGGCTTCGAAAGCTTCCTCGCTCCCGAGTAAATGTTCTTCTGGTCATTATTACTCTGGGGAATGTGAGAAGAAGCAGATGTTCTTTTTTGCTCCTCTTGGTCCTTTACTGAAAGAGATTCACTCCCTAGTCGAACAACAACTTCTTCCACGTCACGATTAGGCTTAACCTCATCAGAGTCTGATGAAAAATAAAAATATGACCGATCGCGCGGTCCATACTGGAGATTTGCTGTATTAGGTTTCTTTTCAATAATAGTGTATTTGTCGAGCAATTTCTGGGCCACAGTTTTGATGGAATTTTTTCGAACCTCGTTTACATTTTTCTTTTGATCCTGATTTCGTTTGATAGTTAAACGGACCACTTGACGGTTACGAGAAATTTTCCCTGGATCATTGCGCTTCACATCTCCATGCAACCTTGAAGATGTTGGTGGCTTGCTCAAGTTAATATCATTGCTGTTTATTTCTTTCGGCTTAGGAGGATCGAGATATGTGTATTTGGAGGTGTATGTCGACGCTTCTACCTTATTGGTGCTCTTTCGAGGCAGGTAAAATCTTTCTGGGTAGGTTTTATCTCCATCCGAATTGAATCTTCGAGACCTATACGGTGCCGATGGCAGATCCTCGACGTAGGCTTCGGTGTCCCCAAAGGCTTTCCTAAGGGACGCTGTATTTCCTGACAAAAAAGAAGGTACGGCCGAAATCTTCCTTCTTGTGGGCGATGTGCTGGCATCGTAATTTGATAGAACAGAGGACGAAGCCGAAGATTTCAGCCCATAAGGGGAAGAAGTGCTTCCGGAACTCGAATGTCCGCCAAGTCTGTACGGGTAGAACGATGTTGAGGGAGTGAGGTTGTAGTTACTTGAGCTGGTTGATCCATACGCGGAAGTTTGGCTGAATGGAGTGTAGGTTTTGCTGCCACTATAAGGTCGAGCCGCGCCATAATTCGAGTAATTGTAAGAAGTGTATGAAGTGTAGGGCATTCTACAAAGATTTAAGTGAAATTTATCTGGATCTCAAAAAAAACTAAAAGGAGAAAATGGGAAACTATAGAAGGTACTCACACTTACAATAATCCTAATTAATTAACAAGGAGTCGATCTTTTCTGTGAGTAACTCCGAAAAGAGCTAATGAAGGAGAACTCAGAGATTGTAATTTAAGGGAATATTCTAAAAAATTTCTCAGAATTTCCAAAACTATATTGTTAGAACAAGTTAGATTGAAGCGTCACTATTTTATTCGCAACGCGATATTTCATACCTATTTCTATACTGTTCACTTTATTATACAAGAAAAAGCATTTATCGTCTTCAGTCAGAGAACATAGTTAAATCACTGAGACCGCATTGCATTAAACAGTTCATTGTATTGTATTAAATTGTATTGTATTGTATCGCATTGTATTAAACAGTTCATTGTATTCATTGTGACGCCAATCACCCGTTTTTTAATATTTTTACAATAATCGCCATGCTTCTTCTTCACACATTTATCACCAAAACATGATATTGATTTCTTCAAGCTTTTGTCTGTGCATCTCTTGAGTAATTTCCAGTCTCAGCAATATTTGCCTGATTTTACTCTCGTACATTTTTATAGTTATCATCGCAGTATTTCAGTTTTCTTACATAAGTTTAAAAAATTTTTAATCTTTTATTTGAAAAGTATTTTGCGAATGGGTATTATCCGCTTGAAAAATATAATTATTTTTTATATAAGTTTTTATCGTGAAAATCTAATACAACGACAAACAAAAACCTTTTTGGTCACGTGATCTTGAATGACTATTATAATTATTCTTGATATGAAATAATTATAATAAGATAATAATTTTTATGAAGTTTGCAATAATGATTAACTTTACATGAATGTTTTCCTTTGGATGCACGTGAAAAACAACGAATGTGCAAACTAAACTATCTTAAAAGGTTCTGAATAAGATTAGACTTGATTTGAATTCATTACTGTCAGAGATAATTATGAACTTGAACTATGACATGATGAACATAAAATAATCTACAAGATAAGATATTCTTGAAATGAACCCAGTATATGACTATCAATTCAATAAATCAGAGACTATTCGCGGATGTAATTAGCCCGAGCTATAGTTATTCCTCAATTGTTATCATTTACGAAAATTGCCTAAGACTGCAAGACTTTTGGAACAAAATCGAAATGGATAAGTTTTTCAAGTCCAATTATTAAGTTCAAATAAACAATTATAATTGTCAAAATATAATAATAGAAAAATATTGCAAAAATATTGATCAATGCAATTTTCCAATAAAGCCTACCAACAATTATTAAGCAAGTAAAAATAGACAATTTAAATGTAAACAAATACGAAGAAATTAAACTTTTCCCTCTCTTGGAGGCTTCTACAGCGGGAATTTTGGCAGAGTTCGAGTAAGCCAACCTACTCAGTCCTTGAAATAACTAATGCGGTAGTTAGAAGTTTATTGTATTCAACTTACTGATATACCTGTACAATCGTACGTTCTTAACCACAATTTTGAATATAAATATTAAATAGATCACGATGCTGCTTACATTATCCTTCAGTTTTTTTGTTTACACAGTCATCGACATCAGAGGTGAAAAATCTGCAAGGATGAAAAACAAGTGGACGCAATATTGCAAAGTCACAAACTCAATTGATTTTCACGTTATTTTCTCAAAACTTCATATTAAGTCGACAAAAGTTCGTTGATGTGAGAACTACTCTTATTTGTATTTTCCGAGAAAATTTGAAGCCGAGAAAACGAGTTAAAATTATTTTCCTGTTATGAAAAAATCTAACATTTGCAAATTTAGCAGCAATAAATTATGCCTTTCCTCCCGGACACGAATCCTCCTCGAAAATGCACACACAACACTATAATTAACTTTTTCGTAATTTTGAACAACGTTATCACATTGCACGTTATACCAGTAAAATTTATATTGGCATTGAGTGAGTAAAATAAAAACATCTATTGAGAATGTGCCCAAACTTAGCTTTTCTATTAAAACCCCAAACTTTTGCTGAGCTCTAAATCGCAGAATAAGCGCTTCAATTATTAAAAATTCGCAGTATTTATCAACACGTTAAATCATCAAGAATATCATGCAAATTCTAGACATTAAGAGCACCAGTCCTCTCTCATACACAGCTGCAGGCCAACTGGGTGCCAACTGCACCATAGCCGCAGCTGTAACAGTGGCAGCTGTAACAGTGGCAGTCGTAACAGTGGCAGCCGTAACAGTGGCAGCCGTAACAGTGGCAGTCGTAACAGTGGCAGTCGTAACAGTGGCGCGCGTAACAGTGGCAGTCGTAACAGTGGCAGCTGTAACAGTGGCAGTTGTAACAGTGGCAGCCGTAACAGTGGCGCGCGTAACAGTGGCAGCTGTAACAGTGGCAGCCGTAACAGTGGCAGTTGTAACAGTGGCAGCCGTAACAGCTTCAGTCGTTACAGTTTCAGTCGTAACAGTTACAGCTGTAACAGTGGCAGTCGTAACAGTGGCACCCGTAACAGTTACAGTCGTAACAATTGCAGTCGTAACAGTTACAGTCGTAACACTTACAGTCGTAACAGTTACTGTCGTAACAGTTACAGTCGTAACAATTGCAGTCGTAATAATGGTAAACGCGACGAATGCAGCTCTAAAGACACCAGCTGTAACACTGAAAGATATTAAACTTCTGCAAATTCAACCGAGGCTGCCGCTGCACAGACAGTTATAAAACAGCGGCAGGCAGCGATAAAGCTTATGCTGTAATAACAGTAACAACTGTTGTACCTGTAATATAGGTAATAATTAAATTCACTGTGCATCTCATTAAGCAATAATAATTGCCACTGAAATGAAGTTTGTTGCGACTTCTGCCATGACTTCTCAGTCTTGCCAACGTCTGACGCAGCAATTTTTTTAGTCATGCAGATCCTAACCCATAGAAAACATGACTGAAATGTAAGGAGGTGTCACATATATCAACAGCATAAAACTCCTTACACTGTAAACTGAATGAAAATGTTTTTCATTTGTTTTCTGACACTTCGTCGCAACCGCTTTTTCTTCGCATGCTGGCGGATTTAGGAGACAAAATATGTTTATAGACGGATTTATGTTCCTGAATATTGAAAATAATTTATCAAATTCCTAGACATACCTGGATGCCTGTTTGACCTGGATGCCCCGGATATACTTGACAGACCTGAATGCCTGTTTTGTGAAATATGCATCCAGGTGCTAAATTTTTTTTAATTTCGTATTTTATAACCTTCACGAATTGCAAAATCGGCAAAATTGCGTATTTTCTAACATTTAAAAAGTACGCAATCAGCTTCTTCTCACATGTTTATCACCCAAATGCAATATTACGCAATAACTGCACTTTCATTTGGATAGCTCCTTAACAATAACTAAGGAATAAGAATAATAATAATAACATTATCAAATAATTACTAATTAAAACTGTGACACAGCAACTAGGGAGCGTAGAGGCCGTCGTCGCATTGGGGGCAAGCGTGACACTGTCGGGTCTGCCAAGATGACGTGTTCGATATTAGGATGTTGCACTCATCATGTTTAAAAATAATAATCATTTGCCAATCATAATAATCAATAATAATTTATTATATAATATAATATAGAAATAATATAATATAATATAATATAATATAATATTATGTAATATTATATGATTTAATATAATATAATAAATGTAGTTATGCACCTATAACTAAATAACTAAAAAATAAACAAGTTAATGCCATTCTTTGCATGACATTTTTCTTCAATTCATGCGTTTTATATCCTGCAATTACTTAAGGAATTCAAAGAGCATAAATTTTTATATTGCACAACGCACAAGTAAATTAACAAGATAGCATTCGTTGGGTAAACTTTCTTTTCAATTTTATGCAGTGAATTCTTACAAAATGCTTTAATAAAAATATTATGGAAAAATTGTTTCCATTGTTTCAATTGTTTTTGACTTTCCTCTTTCAGACGTTTTGTTAAATAGAAATAGTGTACAGATGTATTTAGTTCCATTAAATCGCAATGAAAGTTGAGAAATAATAACATGAGCGTTTTGATAGATATCGAGCGCTTATTCCGCTTTGTAATGGTCGCGCTTATTGGGTTCCAAATTCATCCTGTATGTGATCTGATGCAGTAAAAGTTGTTAATTTTCAATATAATAATTGTTGGTAAGAGGTTTATTCACGCATTCTAAAGCAGTTTCATTCTTTTTGTATTTTAGTTATATTTGTGAAATGAAATAAGCAGTGTGCCTTTCAAGTCAACTTTTGAAGCAGTCAACTTTTTGAAGTCTCGAACTTTCATTCCATGAAACAAGCAATCGTGATAAATTTGCCTTGCACTCTGCATTGCCATTTTACACTCAACATTACCAGCAATCACGCCACTTGGAATCATTCTCGGCCACACGCAGCATTTTTCATGCTATTTCTAGCGGGAAATACAGCATTCTATCGCCGTCGTCATTGCACGCTTGTGCCACGTAAGATCTTCAGTTACACGGTCAAGGGCTTGGTTTTATGTCAAGGATGTGTCTCTCGTAGCGTGTAATGTTACCTCAACACCTCCAGACATAAATTAAACCTAATATATTACATATATGTTTCGCTGACTTACTTAACAATGAGTTGTGTAACTTCCAATACCAATGAAGCTATACCACCGACATGTGACCTGAGTAATCTAACGCTAATGATTAAACAGATATTTAATGCATATATTGGATGAAATTTAGCGCCACCATTCCGACTCCTAAACTCATACAAATTATGAGCGCTTCTTAACTTTGTCATCCCGCAAAATTTGAATTAATGCATAACGCATCGCATTATTTTAATCTTTTAACCTTATAGGGCCTGACACATTTGAACTTGATAGAACTCTTTTGCCTAATAATTTAATTAACTAAATCGTGCCGTGCGTAGAGTGAGGCTCTTGCTTCCCCACCAAGGAACAAAATGTTCATGTGCATGCATGAATCTATTGGAATA